GATTTTTTTGTGAAGCTGCGTTGTTTGTCCAATTTCTTGCTCACGGACACTCCCTCGGTGAGTGTGCAGTGCTGTCCCCGCTGTTGGAAAGTGGGCATTGTGTGTGTTTCTGCAATGCTGCCTTTAGGGCTGATTTCATGGTGATTGCAAACCAACTACAACTAATGAATGTGTAGAAAGCATGAGCTCACAATCATTAGATATCAACGAAAAGTTGAATAGTGATGTGTACAACTAATAAATGTGTAGAAAGCATGAGCTCACAATCATTAGATATTAACGAAAAGTTGAATAGTTGTATGTGTGTTTGTCTCCTCATTTTCAAAGCTGTTTGTGAATTTAGACTCACCTGCCATTGTAGTTTAGCAGTTATGGTGTGGCATTGCTAATCTTGGGGTTGGGAGTTCGATTCCTGTCCATCGCAGCCGCACTTCCATATGCGTGAGATGCAAAGATGCCCATGTACTTAGGTGCACATTGAAGAGACACTAAAGATAAACATTACATCAATTTAGACATAAATTAATGTTGAGGAAGTAATGGCCATAGTTCGTTGTTTGATTTTCGTGCTGTAACTTCAAAAGCTTTTACATCAGTGTGACGTCATGAACTTGTCTTTCTGGTGTATTTTGGTAACATTGGTTCAATGAAATTTTCCTAAAGGCTAACTGCAATGAAGTTGTGCACACCTCAAAAAGCCGATTTATAGGCAGTCTAGCTCGGGACAATGCTGCTTGCTAAAATTCACCTTCGCAATGCAAGTCGTATTTAAGGAAAACACTCGCCAGCAATGCAACTAGAAAAGACACCATTACAGCTGGCCAGAAGTGACTTACAGAGCAGCTCGACAGACCGACCGATATAGGTGAATCGTCTGCTTTGCTTTCTGAAGTATGCGCTTCGCGGCTGTGCCCCAGAGTATTTTCTTTAAATATGAACAAATAAAAGAAACAGTGTAAACATGAACCATGAAGGATGCATCATCGCGAAAGCTCGTTAAAGTGCATATCTAAATAGCGGTTGCTGGCTTCTCGCCTACCGTCTTGTCCTGCTGTCTTGGTAAAGTCGCTCGTTCACAATGAATGATGCCGCGTGCTTACGCTTCGAATATTCTCGCTTCGTTGATAGACTACGGATGATAAGACGGCGTTGTTTTCAATACCAATGCTTGGTTTGACGCACTCCCATGTCTACCAAAAGCGTCTCTGCATTTCACTTGTCTCACTGCGCCCGAAAATTTACACTAAGCCTATTGTAGCACAATCCGTTTTTCTTATATGTAATACATTCATGGGCTTAAATTGCTTTGAACTGAGCACGATCACATTTTTGTCGAACTTGCTGCTTTGACTGCTTGGAACTAGAAGCGAACCATGTCAGCTTTTGGTGCTTTGATTACACGATCATAGATGGCCCAGCTAGTCTAGCACTTCGCGGGGCATCGTTTTACTAGTTTTTTGTCTTTCAAATAGCGTTATGCTGTAATTTAGTGAACGTAACGAGCTAACACAAGCATTTTACGCTGTACTAAAGCTGTCTAATATGAATACATGAATACATGTATGATATATGAATACATGTATGATATGATGTATGAATAATCGCCTGTGTGTCTCCAAACTCCAGTCGGGGCTTCTCGCTGTTGTTTGCAGTGGCTGAATGTTGAAGGCAATGCGTCAGGATTCAACATTCTTCTCGGTTTTGACAGTATTTGGCCGGAGAGACACCGGTCGTGTTTATATTCATGATCTGTGAAGTGCACTGCATAAAGCACCACGCCCTTCAATACATCCCATTCCTTTTGCTTCACTCTGATAACCCGCAGCTTTTGCAGCTTCATGTTTTTTCGAAAAAGCGTGACAGCTGGTTCCCAGCAGTAACGTATGCTCCAGCAGCCTATGGCCCTGCATTTCGCTCTACAAAACCATTAAATCCTTTGAATTGTACACTCTTTAGAGGCATGTCTTGCAGAAAAGGAACGGATGCGGCTGCAGGCAGGTCTGCTCATGAGCGGTGGTGAGCTGTCATTGACGTCATTTCTGTTTGTGCCCGATTTGTCTTGGCACACCGCTAGAGCTCAGCATCGTCTGCTAGCTGACAATTGGAGCACTCATTATAAAAGAAATGCATGATTGCAAGCTTTCTCATTCTCATTATAATTGTTTATCCAACATTACTACGCATTCTGTGCCAATTCCGCCTAGGTAAAATTTTGTTGCAGTTGGCCTTTAAGCTTTCTAGGTTAAGAGTTTGGGGTCCTTACAACACAATGTAAATGATTTCTACCCACAAATATTACATGGGGTCTAGAAGGTTCAGTCAGAATATGATGTCATGGTTAGCCAGTGCACAACTTCTAGAAGGTGTCATGACTTGTAGACTTTTAGATGCGGAAGCATCTTATACTCGCGCCTTGTAGTGCGCCGTCCGCACCGCTTCTCAAACATTCGACAGCTGACGCGCGCGCATGCGCCGTCGCGCTGTCGCCCACTCTTCCACCATCTGTGCATCCCTTCCTCCTCTACACACCGCGCGCGCTTCACTCCTCCACCATCTGTGCACCCTTCCTCCTCTACACACCGCGTTCGACATCTACAATTCTCCTGATTCTCCAGTGGACGCGCATGTGGCGTCGCGCTTCGAGAACATTCAACAGCTGACAGTGCATGCGCCGTCGAGCTGTATTTATACTCAAGGTCGGCGCTCGCTCGCTCAGTTGCCGCTCGTCGGTTGGTTTGTACGGCGCGTCGACGTCCAAGGTCGCGGTGAAATGAATTCCAACGAATCCACAAACACAATGATCGACGTCCCTTCGACCAGCGTCGCCCTTTCGCATACGTGTGTACGTGTTCACTCATTTAACACCCCCTCCTACAACCACGTTAACCAATTTAGCCATCGACCCAAGTAAGTCGCAATTTAACACCCCATTTCACAACCACGTTAACCAATTTAGCCATCGACCCAAGTAAGTCGCACTTTAACACCCCGTTAACCAATTATATGCTCCGCATCCTCCTCAGTGTTCCCCCGAGGGAAGCTGCGGGCAATTTTTTATACAGCAAAAGGTGTAATGAGATCAGAACGCAGGTTAGGCGCGACACGACAGTTGTCTGCCTTCCCTGCCGGTGTCCGTAACCAGTATCGAATAGAAAAAAAAAAAACTCGGTACATAAAAAACACTAATGACACAATGGGATTCGAACCTGGGTCCGCTGCGTGCCAGCACAGTATTCTACCACTGAGCAACACTTTTTTTTTCTTTATTACCTTCTTGACTACAGGTCAAGTTAATCTGACAATCACTAATCACTATCACACGTGTTTCATGCGTGATAACGCTTCGAACAAAGATATTACATCTTCAACACAGTCGGTAGTCTTATACATACCTCGCACTTTTATAACAGCTTCCACAAAACACTCATTAACGGATAGAACTCTCACATCACAGTGTCTGTACGACAGCATACTACGCCAAACCGAATGAAGACCAAGCAAAAATATAACATTCAAATTTTGCACAGAACTATCACAAGGCAAAAAACGAATTCCATATGGAGTAAGAGGTAAATCTTTTTTTAAAGTCCTCTGTAAAATGTCCCAAAAGAAAATAGCATTCTTACAATCAATAAACACATGTTGAATAGTCTCAGGTTTGTTACACAGGAGACAGCTGCTTCCCCATGGTACATACATCCCTCTCTCTTCAAGCCACGTTTTTACTGGCAAGGTTTCGTATGAAGTTTAAAAAAGAAGGTTTTCACATTGGGTGGTATACTCATATTTTTCACGTCATGACCATATGATTTTTCATACTTTGAACGGTACAGGGGCACAGGAAAAACATTCTGTATTAAGTCTTTCATAAGGTGCTTTCTTTTCACAATAGTTAGGTAATCTATCGAAAACCTTGCCCTTAGGAAACGATATGATAACACAACTTCGCGCAAGAACGGTGACAAGGTGTGTCGTTCTCCCCTGTCTGAAGATACAAAGAAGTCAGGCATGGGGTGTAAGAGCGATGTTTGAAATAAGGAACATAAAAAAGAGTCTCTCTGGTCTCTAATGAGCAGGAAACGTGATATTACTTGGTTAAGAAACAGATGACACAAAGACAGCCCTCCTTGCTTAACACGCCGAAACAAGTTTGTTCTAGATGTTCGCTCCCATGTAGAGCTCCAGTAAAATTCACAGGATATTTACCACTGAGCAACACCAGTGCTTAGAATTCTTTTATAAACTGGCCTTAGGCAGGCTTGATTTCGGCTTCCCTATTTAAGTATGCGAGTTATAGAGCCCTACTTAATGCTTATACTGCTGTATGTTCAAATTATTTTCAGGTTTGATCTGAAGTTATATCCTGCACACTTGCAGTACAAAAATACTTAGAATGACAGCACGTTGAGCCAGTTGGTAGGGCTTCACCCTAGAATGATGGCTGAAAAAATCTTTTACTGCCAAACTACGACTTTTCAGTTTATAGTCTTCATTTTGTTGTCTTCTTTTGTTTGTTTTATGGTGTGCATGCTTGGATGCCTTGCTTTCATTTACAAAAGTACGTATTCACCAAGTTTTGGGCACATGTGTAACAGATAGTCGTTGTAATCAGCACTAATGTGCTGTCATTTAATTACAATCTTTGGAAGGCTTTGTGTTGCTGTAGGACAGTTGATGCCCGCCAAACGAGCAGGGACATTATGCCATTAGAATGGCTTGTTAGCTTTGTCAATAAGATCACAAATGTGCTTCTTGGCAGGTCGTCACGCAGCTTACTTGTTGAAACCTTCGTCACGGTGTAGCTACTGCTTTCATAATTTATTTTGTTTGTCTTATCTGTTATCCTGTCCCCCTTCTCCCTTTCATTCTTGCATTTTTCCTTGCAGTGTTTTTTTTCTTTTTTGTCCCCTTATCTTGGATGTATTGGCTTATACTGGCAGCCTGTGGTTGTATTTGCGCTTGCAGCAGTTGGCTCGACAGTGTGTCTGGTTGCCTTCCAGGGAGGGGGGTGGCTAGAAGAAGCAGCAGCGGTGGGTGATCCCCGCAGTGGGAAGGAGGCAGCGTGGCGGGGGAAGGCCCCGAGCGGCCGTCCGGGGGCGAGATCCGGGTTGGGCCCGGGCACCAGGCACGGCTGCCCGAACTGCGGCCCGCCTACGAGCCCCCCGGCATGCCCCGCGAGGAGCTGCGCTGGACGCCCGGGGTTCCCGACTGCGACCTCATGATGTACCTCAGGGCCGCCAGGTCAGAGCTTTTTTTCGTTCAGGACAACCGGGATCGGTTTCATCGCATTCAGAATGCACATGCAGTGTGACGCTGCGAGCAGTAATTTGCGCTCTCCTGCTTTTGTTGGGCATGCTGTGGTATGTGAGCTCAAGCGAATTTTTGGAGTGTGATGAAAAAAAAAAATGAAACAGAACAAGCAAGCCGCAGAGTTCATTGTAGCCATGGAACTCGAGCTTGTGCCAGCTTGGTTTTAGAGCGCAGCTAATAGGCGCTCATACCAGCATTGAGCGGCATTGCCGTCATCGTCGGTGACGTAACCGATAGACATGAAAAAGTAAAATGGGAACAACATGCCCAGGACGGAATGGAATTTGAGCACTGGCCCTCTGTGTGGCAGCTGAGTGTTCTATCACAGAGCTACGCTGGTGCTTGAAACTCGTTAAAAAAAAAAAAAACGCCCTATACAGACGTCATGCCGGACTGTGTTTACCGATGTGATATAGCGTGGCAGGAGAGCAAAATAACAACCTGGCATAACACAACGCTAGTTGCGCTAGTTGTCATCAGCCACACGTAGCATCAACACGTATACCTTACACTTGTGTGAGTACCCTGCTTCTCCACAGAAAGATGAATAATGGTGTATGGGCGGCGTCCTGCATCCCAAAAAATATGATTGATGCATGTTGTAGTCAATACCTTTGGAGAGCCAAAACTTCAAGCACAGTGGGCATTGCCCCAACACGAAGTTGTGCTGAGAATTCGCATTAAGCAGCGCCGTAATCTTCGATAATTGTTTTGTGCTGCTTGATGCTCGCTGTTCCTATCAATCGTGCCACATCCGGTAGAGGGGATACACTGGCATCCAATGCCTCGAAGCAGATATGACAAAATTTATGTACAGGGTTGCCACTATATAACGTGGACCGCTCATTGGTATTTAAGACATCGGAGAAGCTTATATAATAGTACATAATTTGAAAAATTATTGCTGTGTTTATTGACACCGCGATTACGCATCTTAAGACTATCATTTCACTCGCGAAGTAGAAGAAACACCCTAGTTTTATAGGCTTGAGTACTAATGAGGTGATCACTTCAGATGTGGTCAACCCTGTTCACGAAAATGGCAAAGGCAAGGAAAGGTGAGTTTAAAGGCCAACTCCGGCACTTTTTGACCATGTAAAGGTTATAGTGTTTCTACGTTCCTGAGACACTTGTCACGAACCCAATAGCTGGAATGCTCAGAAAATTTGAAAATAATTTTTAATAAGCAAAAATATGAAATACCGAAACCAAACCGGGCGCGTCCCTGCCTGCATGTGACGTGCTACAGTATAGAGCGCTTATAATGCAAGTCTTGAATATCCGCACTATAAGCGGTACTGCACTATAAATCAAAACAACTTTTAAGGACTGCACTTGTGCAAAACGTTGTTGAACATGCAGCTTCGTGTGTCCCAAAATCGAAACGTGCAATGCGTGCTTGCTAACATTTAAATTTGTGAATGTTAAAAAATTTAACGTCCAAAGACGCGCGTTGCCAATGAAATGAACGCGAAAGGGTTAGGGGAGGGGGGTGTCTAACAAATAAAAGCACCATCGCGGAAATTCGCCGACTCGATTATGCGTATTGCATAGAAACTATGTAGAATCACGTCCAGAATTTGATGCGTTGAAAGACTCCAACCATTCGGTTTTATGGGTGCCCACCCGATTTAAGACATCGCAATTGAATCGTGAACCACTATTTGAGCGCTGCAGGTGCCACCCTTGTTTTCATTAACGATATGCATCCCTTCCCGTCAAGTGCGGCCTCCGCAAAGAGTTTCGTTGATTAGGTACCAAACCGCAACTTAGATTTATGCTACCGTTGCCAATCAGAGCGCAACCAACACCGATTAGCCCTAGCTTGCCGTTTGGTATGTTGTCGCAAAAAGTTGGTCCAAAACATGAAGATTTGGCGTCAAAACGATCGCACTACAGTCAAACCCCGCTACAACGAAACTGACGGGGCGCGGAAAAATTTTCGTTGAAGCGAAAGTTTCGTCGTAAAATAAAAAAAATATAGCTGTTCTGAGCTAGCAAAACAAAAGGACATTTATTTTCAAAATTAAAAAAATGTCCGCTGCTTTCTATTCTTTCCCAGAAGCGTCGCAACGTGATTCTCACCCATGCATAGCGAGGCCATGGTGAAAAGCACGCTAAACGAACGCCTAACACCGCTTTTGTGAACGAACCAAAGAGTGGCATTAACACGTTAACACCAGCAGCTGTCCGCCGTCAAAAGTATCCGACAACGCCGAGATGGAGGCAGGGTATCGTGGAGCGGCAACTTTGCATTATTTTATGCAATTCTTATCATCCATCACTCGCGGCTAGCTGATTTTGTTGAGAATGCGGGCGAACAGCCGCTCTGATTAGTTACTGCACTGGCCAAGCTCGAACATAATGATAAGCAGCGGAATCGGAAAAGGCATCATGCCGCGGTTGCACCCAGCAGCTGGGAGAATGAAACCACGAACTCGGCGACTGGGCTTCAGCTTCGGATCGTCTGCGGCTCAAGAGCAAGCCAGTAGCAAAACAAAATCATGGTAGCCTCATTGCCATCGCTATCGAGCAATGGCGCCAATGCTTGCTGAACCGCTAGCGGCAGTTTATAGTGATGCCAATGCTTGTTTTAGGCTTCGTTGACGCATTTTTAGGCTCTGAAAATGCATAGAAATGTTAAAAATTGGGTTTACTGCATATAAATAAGTATCTGAGCCTGGAATTGCATTGTAACATTTCGTTGAAGCGGGACGATCGAAGAAAAAGTGTTGTGGCGAAAATATTTATGCATTGACTCCTATGTACTGCTGACGGGGTATCGTGAATTTTTCGTCGTAGCGGAGTTCGACTGTAGCAGTGAACCAAGAACAGTGTGCATGATACGAAGTTCGCATTCATGACCGGCAGATCAGCAACGGAAACTCGCCAAGCTTACATATGACAGCGCACTGGCAGCAAAAGTGAAAGCTCGCGTTATAAAACCATAAAGGGTTTTCAATTCACAAACAAGGAAGCAAACGCGATATTTGTTGCAAGTTCTATACCGACGTCTTTCCCGACAAGAAACTGCATGCAGTTGATAAGAATGGTATCGCACATGCCACGATGAGCGGTGCGCTGCCGAAGCCACGGTAACGATGTAGTACGCTGTAGCCGCGCCGGTGCAAAGGCTTATCGGTCACCGAGGCAACTGTCCTCCTCCCTTACTCGTCAAGCCCATGCAGTGTCCCGCGGTATTTTTTTTTTTATTTTGCTTCCCTCTGCCCTTCATTAATTCACTCAGTGTCCCCTCCTCCTCCGTAACAATCTCTTCGTTCGCTCCCCAGCGGCACGCTCGCTACTGCATTTTTCACCAACAATTTCCAGCAGCCGCATTATTACCGGTCTTTCATCTTGGGGGACTGCAAAATAAGCGGTATGCATATACATGGGGTTCTATAGGAGGGTAAACGGGAGTAGAAAAAGACCGCATTGTAAGCGGTTCTGCACTATAAGCGGTTACATTATAAGTGGTCTACACTGTATTTGGTTAGAGCCGGAGGCCGTATGCTGGTCCTGCTGGCACGGAGTATAAAAACTGTGAAAGCCGGACCAGCGAAGCACTGGCCAAACACCACAGAGGGAGTCAGAAAGCATTCCCGTGCTATACCCATAGCCAAACACGGCCACCGTCACCTTGTGGAAAGCATAATAAACACTGTAGCGGCCAAAGTAGTGATGCCATCGGCTGCGTCACTTCCGTTGACATGGCAAACATGACTTCACACAGGCAGTGTTGCCAATAATTCTGGCAAGCGAGGTGAGCTTTTCGAGGCTATCTTTAAAATTAACTTGCAAACAATCAGTGTATCACTCAAGCCTGTAATTTGGCATAAATGACTGAAATGTGCAAAGGAACATACCTAGTGAATTCCATTGCGATTCATTCACCTAGAAAAATCGCCGGAGTTGGCCTTTAAATTGCAAGAATAGCAAGAACTGCAAGAATAGCAAGCTCCTTGACGTAGCTCTACGCCTTCAGTTCACCAAGGATTACAGTAGACTCTCAGTAAACAGAAATCTGTTAAACGGAACTACTGCTTAAACGAAAATATTGCCCCTGCAATGCTTGGTTTCGGGCTTGTATTCTGCATTCATGTTCATCTCTCACTAAACAGAACTCCTGTTAAATGAACATATTTTCCCGGTCCCTTCAGGTTCCATTTACTGAGAGTCTACTGTACTTCTAGTGGTGCATTTTGTGCTATAGCAATGCTGTTGTGAAACTCGTCATGAACTTGGAAGGTTAAACTTGGAAACAAAAGGGCCACGCAAAACCCTATTTTCCATGGACTTGGGGCATTTCTGAACGGTGCCTGTTTGCAGGAGCATGGCGGCATTTGCGGGCATGTGTGACGGGGGCTCGGCAGAGGACGGGTGTTTGGCGGCCTCACGGGATGACACCACCATCAACGCACTGGACCTGCTGCACGACAGCCAGTATGACACGGGCCGTGCCCTGCAGGCTCTGGTCAAAAACCCCGTACCCTCGTGGCCTCGATAAGAAGTGGACCGACGAGGACCAGGTAGATATACATTCGCACAAGTTTTTTTTCCTTTCTTTTCTTTTCTTTTTGAGTGTTCACATGAGCAATCCTCCATGTTGCTGTCGTCTTTAGAGGAGTCCACTATACAACTTGCCAGAGTCTGTGAGCAATCACTGCGTCCTGTTTATAAACGCCTGTCTGACAAAATGCACCAGAGGGAAGATGCAGAATGCGAATGGGGCCTTGCATTCGGTCATTTGGAGCCTCTCACCGAAGGAGAAGAATGCGTCATTGTTGGCCGTTGAGACTGCCAGTGGCAGATGCTGTATGCATTTCAACTTAGGGAACAAAAAAATCTAGTTCGCTTATTTTGTGTCAACTGCAGCTACCGTATTTACTCGGTTAATCCTCGCACTTGCTTAATTCTTGCACCCCCAACATCGCCCAACAAAAATATAACTTTTTTTTCCGCCGAGTAATTATTGCACCCTCGAAAATTGCCGCAATAATGTCGTCTGCTAGTCCAGCTGTTAATGATGATAGTGCACGCCATCTGGCGCCATCTCTTAAACATCAAGCGTACTAATATTGCAAAAAGATTCAAGCCAAGCCAAAGCGGCCGCTGTGCGTTGCGGCATGTTTTGTATGTTGTGTCGGTAATCTTGTGACGTTATGGGGCGATACTGAAGCTACACGGCTGCTTTCAAGTTAAAAGTGATTGATCGTGCACTAAACAATAGCAACAGGGCTGCCGGTAGGCCCTTCGGAGTCGACGAGTTTTGTGTTCGCTACTGGTGACGGCAGCTGAGAGCCACCAAGACGCGTTGAGCCTGCCGTGTGCTTAAGACTGGGATTGATGGTAAACTTTATTTCTTCAGAAGGAAACTGTGGACGATTCTGTTAAATGGTCATCAGCCCAATACTGACATCCTATGCTTACCTTTTGAGGGCTCTTGTTGAGTGACGAACGCTACCGCTACGCCCGCATTGCCACAAGCTTCGCGTATGGTATATTAATTCTCGACTATTTGATTGCACTTTTTGTGTCTGAAATAAATCTTGTGTTGAACCTCTGCTTTTATTCTTTAGGTAAATTTTAATCAGTACTTCTCAAAGCTTGCTGTTAGTTGCCGGTGTGAAAATCCCGATTTGCGGCCACTTCGTTTTCTTCTTAGGTCTGTACGTTTTCGTGGAAAGTTTTCCCCGTGTAATTATCGCACCCCCCAAATTTGCATGCGTTTTCCGCAAAGAAAGTACGAGGATTATGCGAGTAAATACGGTAGATCAAACATGTACAGGTAGCCAGCAGGTGGTTGAGAAAGACTATCGCCGTGCCGTCGGCTCGGAGAGGAAACGTGCATCTTGCGGCATTCCAGGCAGCCGCAAAGAAGAAGCACAAGCAAAAGCCTGCTTCAGACTATTCCGCAGGGGCTTTCCGAGTGATTGTGTATACAAGGGCTGTGGCTTTCATGTATTAAATTTTCGTTTCACAACTTTTTCAGTTTATTGCGTTTTTCTCAAATACAGATTTTTGCATGTTTTGAATTTTAGGGTGAGCACTGTGTTGCTAATACGGATTCGATTTTCTTGATGTTTTTTTTTTGTTTGAATGATAGGGAATTAGAGTGTGCAAGAAAACCTTGATAAAATGTTTAAGGACATCGTAAAATTTTGAAAATTTTCAGAGATCACCATTGAAAATTCAGAGCTAAGAGACTGCGACATAAAAATTTCATAACTTTGGGTAAAGTTTAGATAGCAGCATTAAATTGCATATTTGCACTATTTGAGTATTCAGCAACATACAGGTTTAATCTCGGCTCTCTTGATGCATTACTTTTTATGCATGTCACATCCCAAATTCGTAAAATAAGAACAGTTGTAACTTTTTTTTGAATATGTAAAGGAAATCTAATTACATTGTTTTAATCGGTGTACAAAGCTGAATAGTTCCTGAAAAAATCATGTCTCAAGGCCTAATACTAATATATTTCACAACTGGTCCCATGTTCCCCCTTAAAATGTTCATGACAAGGTCACCCACCAATTTGCAGTTTTCAGCTATAACTGAACGTACGAGGTCTGTTGTACTGACACACTTAAGAAAAGTGTACTGTACAAGAATATTTTAGTATTCAATGGGTTGTAAAAGTTGCCAGCTATGAACCCCCGCCGACCGCCGGCGGCTGCCATTTCGTCATGGTGCATGTGACGTCATGTGCTCCGTAGAGTACAGCTGATGTCTTCTGTTGAAGTTTCAGCCACTGCAAATAGTTCAAGTTCAATCCAAGTGAAAGAAAAACTGAAATGGCTCAATGGCATGTGCAACTGATTAGGGAACAAGATGCTACAAACACAGTACGCACACTCACACAGCAAGCAGCTTTTACGTCGTGGCTCACAAGTGTGCCCGACTATCGGGCAGCTTGTGCCTTTATAAAAATGTTTGACCGTGTATGAAGTGCTCGACCAAATGTGTTCAAATTTCGCCCGCTTCTTTTTAAGTGTGATAGAACAAATTCCTATTAGACAGATTGGGATCGAAAATTGGGTGTTATGGTCAAGATTATGAGAAAGTGTCAAATGAGAAATGCAGCTACACTCCTCATTCCGCCATTTCTCCTCACTTCAGTTTTCCATCTGACCCTAGACTTCTCTCTCTCTCTCTGTATTGATGAGGATACTTAATAGGTAATATTTAGGTCCATTAGAAATGCCTTTTAGGTTCTACAAAGATGCTTCGTTGTATGCATCATGCTTCAGTTGGAAGAATTCTGAGTTTGAAAGCACAGGCACGGTATCAATGTTAATACTGTGGGTTATGACAGTCTGAAGAAAGAACAAGTAAATGGGGTGTCATTTTGTGCCACAACCAGTGATGTGATAGCTGCGCCAATTGCGCCGAACTGCGCCGAAAGGCGAATCCTGCGCCAGCCTGCGCCAGCCTGGTCAAATATGAGCAATCTGCGCCGAGTCTGCGCCAGAAGTTGCCATTTGCACTGCCAGTTCTGAAACCGAAACTGGAGCCATTCGTGAACTGCCATGGTTGCTGGCAGGCTCGCCACGAGAGCAGCCTTGCTCGCTAGGAGGCGCTTGTGATGGTAGTGAAGTATTACGGCTAGGTGGCGTTAACCGCCGCCCGATCTAAAGGGTACAGCCACATCCATCCATCCATCCAGTCACTACTAGTGACGCAGAGACGCTCAACCGCTGAAGCCTCCATGGCCGCATGGCCGCATGCAACATCGGAAATGGCGGGTTGCCGTTCGAAAGCTTCGAAAGGTAAGCAAACCGACTTGCGTTGTTCTATTTGTTTGTGAAGTTTCGGCTGGTGCCTCGCAGCAGTCTTGAACCCCCCCCCCCCCCCCCCCCTTCCGAGACTCAGTTTATTCCGTGCAGTGCGCCTCGCAGCTACCGTGGTAGCGACCGTCCGTATCGCGGCCCGAAGAGACGGGCATCGTGATGCATGTACTGCTCGTGAAGCGCGTCAACGAAATTAGGCGGCGTGAATTCATGGCTGTTAAACTGAAATTTCTAAAATAGCGCATGCGCAGCAAGGTTCCGCGAAGCCCCCACAACAGCTTATCGCTATCAACTTTGCCTGCGTCGAAAGCGCGCGCAAATATCAGTGCCCGGCTGCGACTGCGATTTTGCCCCGCAGAGATAGTGCTTGCGGCCGTACTTAGGTTTTGCGTTTTGCGCTAAAAACCTTGGCCGATAATTGATATCTTATTACCCTACGTAACCCTTATTGTGCACGAAACTAACCTTATAATTTCTGCAAGCGAGCCGAGCCGATCGCACACGCATATGCATTTACAAGCTCCGTGGTAGCGGCGTCGCCGAGGAGCACGACCGAAGCGTGGAACGCTAAAATACGGAGCGCTAGTGTTGAGTCGTATGTGCTTCACGGACCTTACTGAGTTTATAACACTCCATTGACCGACGTGTTTGTATCGGCGTAGTGTGACAATGCGGTCTAGCAACTCGGCAGTTGGCCGATGGTTTTGTTGTTCCACCTTTTTCCACGTTGTATTTTTTATCCTATTAATAGATTTGTTAATAATAAATTGTGGGCTCATAATACAGTACCATCTTGCGATAACGCTACCCTCATGCTAGTAATGTACCTTGTTTATCATGCAGGTCGCAACACCAAGTTCAACAAGGATATCCTTGAGGCCACAGATCCAAATGGCGACGTCATCTCTGTTTGGTGTCGTCAGATGTCCGAAGACAGTGGCTTTTGCACAATGTGTAACCAAACTATCTCGTGCAAACAGCATGGGGTGTCAGCCATTATGAGACATGCAACCAACAAGAGGCACATTGAAGCTACTAGACAACATCGTGATGCTTCTGGCCTACTAAAAAGACAGTCAACCATCCAGTCATGCTTGGACTTCACACCAAAAATGGTGATCTCGCCATCGGACCTAGTAACACAAGCAGAGACCATTTTTGTTGTCGGAATGACACTCAAAGGGGTGCCATACTCATGGGCGGACACTGCCACAATGCTCTACCCTAAAATGTTTCCAGACTCGGAGGTTGCGAAAAAGTTCTCATGTAAAAGAAGTAAGGCTTCCTACATTGTGTCGGATGGCCTTGGCCCTCACTTTAAACAACTTGTAGTTGACGAGTTAAACAGACCAGATACTTTCTACAGCATCGCCATAGATGAGACGCCAATCCCGGAGCAGCGATGCCAACAGATGGATGTTGTAGTGCGGTACTACTCGTCAGTTGCAAAAAGAGTTCTTGTAGAACATCTGGACTCGTGTCGACTGGGTTCATGCACTGCGGACATTCTTGTAGGGGAAGTTAAAAGGGCAATCCAGGACCTGCCACAAAATAATCTTATTTGTGTGTTTAGCGACGGACCCAACGTCATGAAGAGTTTTAAGGCAAAGATGAAGGAAGTGAACCCGCACATTTTGGATGTGGGTGACTGCTGCCTTCATAAGGTTCATAACTCCTTTGGGCGAGGCCTGGATGCCTTCGGATCAGATGTGGAAGCAGCCGTCGTCGACGCATACTACTTCCTGAAATCATCTGCGGTTCGCAGTTCTTCCCTGAAGGCACATCAAGAAGCTCTGGGGTTACCAGAGAATGTTTTCCTTCGGCATTTGAATTCGAGGTGGCTCACTCTTGGTCCAGCTGTGGGCCGCTTCATTGAGCAGTTTGACGCCATCAAAAACGTTGTGCTGTCTAGTTCATCACGCCGCTCAGGTGGAAAAATGCGTGCACGTTTGGCTGAAGCCTTTTCCGACAAGGCATTTTATGCTAAACTCTTGTTTGTAAATAATGCTTTTGACCTTTTTAAGGATTTTTTGACGTTGTTTCAAGGTACAGAGACGTTAGTGCATCGTCTATTTGGCGAAATGGTGGCGCTTGTCCACAAACTTTGTGGCCGTTTCATGAAAGCGGAATCGTACAACCCGAAAACTGGGAAGGATCTGCTACTCCTGCAGCCTAGTTCATCCGTGAACTGGAAGTCAAAGGTGGAAGTAGGAGAAGACACTGAAGCTGCCATGGCAAGCTGGGAGGCAGCTGAAAAAAGGGCATTTAGGTTGGGTGCGAGGAGTTTTTACATTAAATGCACCGAGTATCTGCTGTCACGGCTGCCACTAGACAACACTAATCTGGAAAGCCTTCGTTGCCTTCATCCCGACGCTCAAGGCAGAGAGACTTCCGCCTGTGATTTGAGGTTGCTCGCTGCTAGACTCCCACAAGTAATCGAGGCTAGCAAAATTTCAGCCCTCATGGACGAGTTTACCCTTTTTCAGCTCAAGCCAATAGAAACCTTTTCCCTGAGTGTGGATCAACACTGGCAGAAAGTTTTTGAGCTGAAAAAGGCTGACGGATCAGCAAAATACCCTCTGCTATGCAAGGTAATCAAGGCATTGCTGTGTATTCCGCACGGTAATGCAGACCTGGAACGGGGCTTCAGTGAGAACCGCCGCATGCTCCTCGAAAGGGCCCGCTTGACGATTCATAATGTTAACGGCATTCGGCAGATTCTTTCACATGCAAAACGGTTTGGTGGAGACCCAAGCAAGTTTGTGGTCACTCCTACTATTATCAAGGCTGTCCAGGGGTCTTCCAAAAGGTACAGAGAGCGAATTGCTGCAGAAGAGTCGGTAGCTAAGCGAAGGTGTACTGACTCAAGTAAATCATCTGAAAAGGATGATGCTGAACAGGCTGTACAAGCTGAAGTGGAAACAGCAAAAAAAATGATCTGCAATGCTGAGCTTCTGATTGGGCGGGGAGTGAAGTCCAAGGACTTTGGTGACATTGAAAGTGGGCATTCACTTCTAGCAGAAGGCAAAAGCAGGCTTGCATCAGCATTGGCAAAACTCACCTGTGCCAAGAAAAGGTCTGCAACTTAGTTACCTGAGGCAGCAAATTTTGTTTTGTAGGTGACTTTGCAGCATTTCTCTCGGGGATTTCTAAACTGGTGTTTAAGCTTCTCAAATGAGAGGGCGTGTGTAGGTTTTTCTTGGAATTTTTTATTGCCATGCATAATTTGTAGTTTGTGCTTCATATCTTTGTCATTTGTCCAGTGTGCTGTGGTTTGCGTATGCATAATTTGTAGTTTGGGCTTCATATCTTTGTCATTTGTCCAGTGTGCTCTGGTTTGCGTATGTAACAATAAATCAAGGTTTTATTCTTTGTGCAAATGGTCATCACTTGCCGTAGCACTATGCGATACCGTACGCGTACGCCTGCTCCAAAACCATGCTGACCTGCTCCAAAACATGATTTTAGCTGCTCCAGAAGCTGCTCCAAAGTGGCTTGGGCCAATCACATCACTGCACAACAATAATCTTCATTTTGCATGCTTTTCCCTGCATTATTGCTGCGTGGTCAGCACTTCTAGGTCACAAAGGGCACATTACCTACAGCATGACTCGGCATTCTTGCTAGGAAAGTGACTAGCATAGGGTTTTCGAGAAAGTCAACGCAAGTTAGCCAGATCACAATCATTGTTTGTAGGCAAGAAAAGACACATTTTTTTTTAGAGTGCAGGTGGAAGTTGTCTGCAAATATTTGGTGGACAGGAAAGAACTTTGTTGTGTGAAAGTACGCTTTGGATGCCTCTAATTTGATGATACGACACATCCTTAACCTTTCTGACACAGTGTCTTGCTTGTGGTCTTATCCGTGCAGAAACGCTTTGTCAAGGGCCTGAGGCAATATGGCAAAAACTTCTTCAAGATACGCAAGGAGCTCCTCTCACATAAGGAGACGGTCAGTGTTACGACTCTTACTCAAGCTGCTTTACCTTATCTTTGTTTTGCTTTAGTTAGGCATTTTTTGGCTTAGTCTTGAGCGACGCTTACCGTTTGCAACGGCAGGCTGACTTGGTGGAGTTCTACTACCTGTGGAAGAAGACCCCAGGCGCGGCGACTTCCCGGCCTCACCGGAGACACCGCAGGCAGAACGTGCTTCGGCGAAACAGACCATCATCCCGACTGACCAAAGTGGCGCAGAATGAATTCGGTAAGTTTTGTAGCAGCTGTGCAGTGCACCTAATACATTGGCCAGTTTCCAGCTCGTAGTACGATCATATGCTATGTGATGCCAGCTGGCCACAAAGAAGTGTTCCCCACTCGCGGTTATGGCTGCTATCAACGCTATCTATAGTAACATTACCATGATTACAGAAGCATGAATGCCCAATGAAGTGGACGGGAAAGCCACCGTTGCTGTAGTTCAAAAAGCAGAGCATTCAACATGATACCGTATTTACTCGATTGTAACGCGCACCCGGTTTCCACGACGAAAAAAAAAAAAAGTAAGACATCGATTGCAACGCGCACCCATTTTTCTCGTTGGCCCGCACGATCACACCACTCAGGAAAATGACTCCTTTTGGAAGCGTCTTCCATTTAAATATGAGGTACGGGGGAAGCTTGTGCCTATCTGACGTGCAACGGTGCATTGCCGTCACTCTAGTTTTACCGTGGCTCGATGTCAGCACGCGAACTTGCTTCGCCCCCTTCTCGGCGGTTGTGGTGCCTGGCATGTCGAAGTAAAGAGACGTCTGATCGGCATTCCCGATTTGCCCAAGTAGGGAGCCGTTGTGCCGCAAGTTTAGGACAAACCTCTGAAAACTGTGAAGCTTTTCTTCGTACTCCTCCGGCAACTTTTGGCATATGCCTGTTCGCCTTCGGAGGGAAAAGCCTTTCCTCTTCATAAAGTTTGTTAGCCAGCACCTGCTCGCTTTAAACTGGCTCCGCATTAGCCCTTTTTCTAAGGCTAATTGCATAGCCCGCACTTCGAGCAGTTTTGTCGTCACGGGCCGCAGTGCCGCTCACTGCTCAATCACATACTCGCCGAGCAGCTCTTCAATTTGTGGTTCGCATTAATCTTTGCTGTCGACAATATTCTGCTTTTGTTTCCGCCAGTCCCGCACGCACGTTTCGGGAACTCCGAACGACCGCAACATTTCTAATAGGACAACTGTACTTCATTTTATGACATGTGCCCTTTATATCTTTTGTACCATTAAATATCTTCTTCTATGGTGAGATGCAATAATGTTTTCATTTTAATTAAAATCTGGTTTTTCAGTCAATATCTGATACTTGCAACTGTGATAATTTCTGGGTTGTATGTTGTTTTCGCTGCTGATTAGATATCGGGGGGCTGCAGTTTTGTTAAGCTGTTCAGGATAGCTCTTTCTGGCACTCCTTCACAATTATATTTCTTTAAAGGTGAGAACTAAACTTTATTTTTTCTAGTAATAGCAGTAGTGATAACAGTAGTGTTACTTGTTTTAAATTTTCACTAGTGAAATGTTTAGTGGATATGGAAAGAGACAGGAACATGCAACATTCGCGTTCTCTGCTGTTTGTTATTTATCTTCAAATGGTTATAGCCTGACTGGTGATAAAAAGCCGCAGAGTCATTTGTGATGCAATCAAAAACATTTAACATCTTTTTATTGCCACCAAGGTGAGAGCACTACGAAAATAATGTGCTGTGTTGTTCGCATTGCCGGCGTCTCCTCTATTTTATCAGTGCTAGCGCCCGCTGCAGCCGTTCACCACCTTCTCCTCTAGCCCTTTCCTGCTCATACCCATTGCCTAGCCTTCGTGTGTGCTTTGTGGTCATGGGGAAGAGAGCCCCTCATGCAGTGCCTCACGATGTGAATTATATAAATTTTTTGTTCAGTTGTGTACAGGTTCATGGGGCGGTGTGTTGTATTTTTCGTGGTCACAGTGTTGGCAGTCATGCTGGCTCTGTTAGTGATAGTGTTTTAAGGGGAGATGTGAGTCGAAAAATCGCGTTTTCAGCGAAATTTCTCGTATTTCTGATTTTTATTGCATTGTAATCTTCAAACCTTCTTCTTTCATTTGTGAAAATTTCAAAACTAAATTCGAACCGCAAAATGCAAAAAAATGTGTATGAAGGCATCGCTGTAGATCAAAATTTTGTGAATTTGCGCCGATATTGGCCATCTTTGACTGCGCGCTGCTCCCGGTCGCAGTGCCGCCCGCCATCGCGATCGGTTGGGAAAGTTGCGTCCGACCTTCTTCTTACAGCTCCGACGACCGCCAGTTTCATACGTGGGCAAAAAAATAAAAAACGAGGCCTTTTTATCACGTGGTTTGAGCGGTTTGAAACGCGCGGCACCCTAAGCCGCATCGCCATTGGCTACCGAGTCATTGTCAGCTGTGTTGGTGGCGGCCATCGGCATTTGGTCCGTCTGCTTTTCTGGGTGTCTACGCATATTTCCGCGATGACAAGACCGAAAAAGTGCAACGTGAGACCGCAGAAGTTTCGAACGAAGCACAAGTTCAAGGGAAGGCGGCGTAAAGCGCCCCGAACGACGGCGATGAACGAGAACGCGCCTACGTGTGCTAGGCCTGACGGCGGCATCGACGAGTGCGCGAGCGACAGTGGCTGCGATGAAGGGATTGACGCTGCGCTTTCTTTCGTCAGTGCTTCACAAAAGAAGCTCGGCTTCTTCGAAAAAGACGAAAGACAGCGCGATGAGGTTTGTGCAACGACAGTTTTGTGCGACACCCTCTTGCTGACGGCACTTGTGGCAGGTGCGGCATGCCCTGCTTGCGGTATTCAAAAACTTGCCGTTCGGGAGCCGGCAGAAAAGCGCAAGGGACTTTCGTCGCTCCTTGAACTTCTTTGCGAAAACAGCGAATGCTCAGCGACTGTTCTTTCGTGCTCCTATACGTCACTGCGTGTTACGGCGGACGGCAGCAGCCGAGTGAGCCAACGGTACGACAGTAAGAGCTCCCGAGATAGTTTTGCTGTAAATGTGAAGGCGGTGGTGGCTGCACGCGCTGTCGGCATCGGGCATGAGCAATTGTCGAGATTTTGCTCCATTATTGGACTCCCAAAGCCAATGCACCACCGAGGATTTTTTTCGATAGCAAAGAAGGTGCACACCGCTGCCATGGCAACTGTGAGTGAAAACTTGCGCCGATCCAGAGAGTTGACGAAAGAAGTAGCAGGCGAAACTGATGTGGCTGTTATGTTCGACGTCACTTGGCAGAAGAGGGGCCACAAAAGCCACAACGGGATTGGCGCAGTTATCTCCTTAGATACTGGCCTCTGCTTAGACTTCGAGGTCATATCAAATTACTGCCTGACATGCAGTAGGCACAAGGATATGGGCCCAGACGAGGAAGTGTGGCAGGCATTCCATGGCCCAGTCTGTGAAAAAAATGCAGACTGTTCCTCCCATGCCATGGAAACGGAGGCTGCAATGCGCATTTGGCAGAGAACATTGACTTATGACACCCCACTGCATTTCATTACATTCTTGAGTGACGGTGACAGCAAAGAATAGTGCAGTTGCAGAGTCAAAAGTCTATGGTGCTGTCAATATAGAAAAAGAAGACTGCACTAATCATGTGGCCAAGAGACTTGGCACCGCGCTACGGAAGCTGAATGTGCCATTACCACGAGGGCAGAAAATGAAAGAGCCAGCCATTCAGAAGCTCCAAACATACTATCAGATTGCCATAACAAGCAACAGGGGGAGTGTACGGGATATGTACACTGTAGTATGGGCTTCGTACTTCCACTCATGCTCTACTGACAATGCTGGCAGCCACAAGTTTTGCCCTGCAGGAACAGAGTCGTGGTGCAAACATCAACGCGCTGAAGCACTTGGTGAACCTGCACCACGCCACACACCTCTCCTGACAAAAGCACAGGGATTGGCTGTTTTGCCCATTTATAAGCGGCTAACGGATGAGAAGCTCCTTGCTCGATGCATCAAAGGGAAAACCCAGAACGCATCGGAATCCCTGAACAGCAAAATTTGGCTACTTTGCCCCAAGACTAAGTTTGTCTCCCGAACGGTTGTCGAGACTGCCGCAGCTATGGCAATCCTGTGGTTCAACAAGGGTCATGCTACTTTCGAGCACATCCTGGAAGAGCTCAACATACTGCCATCTAGAGATCTGGATACTTTCAGTGATTCCCGCGATGCGAGGCGCGTCAAGAGAATGTCTGAGCGTCTGACAGCAGAAGCAAGGGACCACCGTCGTCGTGGAGTGAAAAGGGCACGGCTAGAAGAGAGTGCTCGCAAAGGACCGTGAGGGCACAACCTATGCTGCAGGACAGTTCTAGTAACTTGCAGTGCTTTTCAAAGTTCTGTTGAACATTATGGCCAAAGATTATGCATTTCTAACAACTCTGTGATAAAAAAAAAGGTTTCAAACTTTCAAATGCGTTTTTCTCCTTTTGCAGTTTTGTGTGATCTGTGTTTCTTATACACGCTAGTTCGTATACTTACAATTGTCATACCTCTATGAAATTTTGCACATAGCATGGTGAAGGCCCATAGAGTGCAAGTATCTATTCAGATTGTCAGTGCTGCTTGATTATGTTTTTCAAAAATTACATAACATTGAAAGCCCCTGGCAACTAGAGCCATAGTAAATTTTTCTATTTTATTATTGTATTTCACCTTTTTACACACAAAATTTATATAGTTTTTTGCACTCTACAGTTCCAAAGGATCATAGTCAGCTATATCTGCATGCTTTATCTCAAATTTTTATAGGTCAGAATTGTTGCATAACAATGGCCATAATTTTGCAGTATCTGACTTGCAGAAAGAAGACCAAGCAATCTACATGAAAATAAATGACATATTTGAAAAGAGGAGAAAAAACTCTATTAGCATCCCAATTCGTGTTAAATTCAGACTTTTATTAAAGAAAATCGTTTTCGAGTAGCATCTCCCCTTAAGATGGCGTGGCGCTGTTCGTGGTGCTATGCGGCAACTAATGGGGACGTGTCACAGTTTAGCCGCTGCATAACTAGCGCTCTGAGGTGGCGGGGGCGTTGCTTCCAGTCACAAAGAAGGAGCATGAAAGAACAAATTTGACAGACGTATGATATTGGAGAGGGACACACATTTATCGCATCTCCGGAGAAAAGCGTTCAGAAGCACGCATGACACAAGCAGCGCGACCCCTAATGCAGCTTCACATCACGACTACCCCCTGAACGAAGGAGGACTGACGGCTCCGGTTGAGAAGAGCACATTTGCACTGGCATTGAATGAAATAAAGGAGGCGTTGGCATTGCTTTCAATTCCCCCCCCCCCCCCCCCCCTGTACACTTCAGATTATGATGTATGCAGCTGCTGTGTATTTTGATCAGCTGCAGTTGTGTCTGCTCCCTAAATCTTTGGTTTACAACAAGCGTTTTTTCTTTCAACTTATGGTAGTTGCTCATCTCTATTGTGCTTCATTCTAATCGCTGCTCACTCCCTGTTTTTTGTTTGCACAGCTGATGCGAGTTCAGCAAGCGAAGAAGAGGAGTCTGCTGATGATTCTGATTCCCGGGAAGTGCCAGCCTACATGTGCCAGAGCTGCCTTGCTACCAGTAAGTGGTACTCAGTGGTATTTTTCTGCCAACTCGCTACCTTCTCTGGTCTCAACACATCCCAGCCACGACGTTCGCACTTCGATAGAGGTGAACTGGCAGAGTACCATGTAGTTGGATCTAGGTGCTCGTTAAAGAAGCCCAGGTGGTCAAATTTGCGAAGTTCTTCACTATGGTGTCACTCATAATCTTAGCGTGGTTTTGAGATGCTGGACTTGTGTACTCTTGTGTACTTAAGATTTCTGTGAGCCCTAAGGGGACCCATATGTTCGCAATAATTGGGCGCCCCAGTAGGGGCACTGGGACAAGCGTCATAATCACATCACGGTTTTAGCTTGTAAAGCCCCAGAATTCAATTCAGTGGTGAAGGTTGTCAGTCAGTGGCATACTGTGGGAGAAATTTGGCCATTTCTAACCCTTAGCATCAGTCCACCACGTTAGTTCTGTCTCCATGCCATTTCAGACCAGGGTTTTCCCCATTGCTCCGCTTCACCGTCCACTGCTCTGATTGACCCCTTTGACATTTGATTGACCTTTTTGACATGCCCCGAGGAACCAACTCGTAGCAACTGTCAGAGTTGTCAGTTCCGCTTGTACATAAGTTTCGCGAGTTGCTTGTTGGATTTCCAGTTGCTTGTCGCGTTTTTTTGGCCTTCATTGAAATTTACCAGAAAGTAATTATCTTGGTGATCACCAATGCACGTTTGTCACACACCGATAGCATGTTTGTCAATGACCGACTAGAGTGTTTGGGCCAGAAAAGTATGACCTGGAATGAAATGTTGATGGCTGCTGAAAGTTGCAAATTTGGAAACTTCTTAAGCCTGGTATACCCTCTGCTTCTCTCTCTCTTTCTCTCTGCTAATGTCTGCCCCCTAGAAATTTTCTGTGGAGAACCTTTTTGAAGACCGACCTGACTCGAGCATGGTATGGCAATGCACAGGTTCAAAGGAGTGGTTCCAGACGGGCAAGGAGGGTTCGGTGCTCTGCTGGGACTGCTGCCAGCAGAAGAAGGGCACCGAAGCGGTGAGACCCCTCTCGTCCAACGAGGGGGACGGTGCCTCGCCGTTCCTCTTCAAGCCTGTCGACGGGGACGCGCTCAATGGCAAGCATGTCATGCGTACCCGACGGAACAAAGAGGTGCGTCTGCTGCTTGGGGCATGCGAGCTGAAATTGTGACCGAAATGAACCTCAGCACAGTCGCCGAGCTGTAGTCAGACCCGAGCAAAGACCTCCTAAATGGTTGATTGATCTCTTATTGCAAATTATTCGGTTCACCGAAAGGTGTGTGTTTATAATCTCGCATCATCACTTCTTGTGGGGCTTTCTCTTTTGGGAGGTTTGGCAGCACTGACACGAGTGTTTCCCTATCAATATTTAGCAATTGATGTAGAAGTTTTTAAATAAAACACATAGGCGCTGTCACCTTGAGCTGTTGATCGTTTTCTTGTATTTGTATGACGCAGTGCGAGCCAATAAGGCCATTGATAAGCATTGAATGTACCAACCCAACTGTTATCTTGTGTATGTGTATACCGTAGCACTCTTTGTTTAGTAAAGATTAGGCTTGTGCTAATATTTGAATGCTTCGAATGTTCGAAGGAATACTGTAGTATTCGAATTTGCTTTGATTCGAATTGAAATTATTGAAAATTTTGAAGTATTCAAAATAAGTTAGTCTGCATGAAACCTACCTGTAAAGGTGGCTTCACTGCAGTGGAGGTGTGAGAAGCTGTTAGAGAACACTTTGGTAAGGAAAATCTGCACTGCCGCGAAGCCTTCCTTGAAGTTTTGATGAACATCATACCCTCACATTGATCCGTGTTTAAGGTTTAGAGGCTTGTTATACCGGCTTATATTCAAGTATAGGAAATTGTAAAATGAACATTATTTGCAGGTTATCGCTTGCTTTCTACAGGAAGTCAAATCCTGCTACTATTAAAGTTGTTTCATCTTGAAACAGTGAAATGGCATTTGCACAGGCCTTGTTTCAATTTTAAAAAAATACTGTGCAGGTTAGTTAGGCCATAACAAATATGCCAATTTTTTTATATGTGATATATATAGTATTCGAATTCGATTAGAAAATATTCGACCAAAATCACTATTCGCTTCGAACCTAAAATTCACTATTCGCACAAGCCTAGTAAAGATACAAAACGACGTGACTACAGCCCAATATGGTGGCACGCGAAACTCGCGTGCGAAGTATTGTAGAAGTCTTGTCACTGCCTGGAGCGTTTTTTTTTTTTTTTTTTTTTCATTGACATGTCGAAATAGCAGTTACCATACAAAATAGTAGAAATGGTGGTTTCAAGTAAAACAATCACAAAGAAATGTAGACAGAGCTAACTCGCGTGTGACTCCCACAATGTGCTTCATGATCAGACTGTGGTTTCGGCATGTATTAGGTACCACAATTATTTTTTTCTTTCTCTGCTTTTTTTGTAGGATGACGGCGATTTCCACTTCCGAAAGACGGGGCGGGGTTGGCTTACTAATAAAGTCTGTATGCAGCACGCTTTTCCCGCAGTTCCTTACAGCCTCCTTTTTTTTTCTTTTCCTTTTTTCCCAGAACCAGAACCATACGAAAGGCCGGAGTAAACATGGCAGCAACAACATTGGAGGTGATGCAGCAAGCCCAGAAAACATGGATGGAGCGCTCACTGCCAACAACCGCGCAACGCTCGGAGGGCGCAAGTCGCCCGCTGCCAGCACCGCTGACAAGGACAAGAAAAAGGTCAGTTTTCAAGCGCACTCTCTGTATCTGTAATAACGCTATGGAATGAAAAAAAAAAAACCAGTGAAAGGAGTGTGGTGCTTTGTATATGCTGTGCTGCCTAACCACATCCCCAGTAAGCTCTGCTATGCTAGAATTAACTCACGGGGTAGGTGAGACGGGCTGATGTTCCATCAAGGGTGAAACAAAGTATACTAAGAACTTTTGAACTGGCTGTTATCTTGCAGTGTTGCCATACCAATTCTGGCATGTGGCGCTTTACTCATCCAAACAGTCTGCTTCTACTCACCGTTTCATTTCACCTGTGCATGTGCAGAAGACGAATCCCGACACTCCTACAAAAGGCAAGAAAAGAGGTCGCGACGACACTGCCCCTGCATCCAATGCGCTCCCCACGACACCGACAACTCCCAATGCTTCTCCGACTGAGGACTCCACAGAAGCGACAGCGGCCACCACCGCCATCGTCGTGACTGCGCCATCGCCGGTCAACGAGGAAGAGGACAAGGTGACCTCGGCATCCAAGAAGAAGAAGAGTGAGGCAGCCGAGAGCCCCGTGGACTCGCCGGGGGGAGCCGAGGGCCTGTCAAGCCGGAGCAGCAGTGTCGGTGGCGGTGCTGCCTCCAACGAAGGTAAGGTGCCTCGTGCCTGCTGCACTCCGGTGCTGATTGAGCTGCCCTGTCTGTGTGACTGTACCTTGCTGCCTGCATTTGCTGTGCTGGCCAACATTGTTTATTGAAACGCCGAGGATGCAATCATTTTGTGTCAGTTGGAGCCTACACAACTGGCCACTGGGTGCCAAGCACAGTCAAGCCCCTAATGGATATGAAATGGTGGCTTTCTAATTAAGTGGTGTGGCTCTAAACGAGCAAATTTAGTCCAGATCTATATTTTAAAACATATATTTATCCGGAAAATTGATAGCGAAAATATATGAGTGCTATGGAAACTGAAGGTGCACTTATGAAATCCGACACGCCAAAGTTTTTGGAGTCCTAAAAATCTATCAGCGACTGTAGTTGTTGTTTTAGGATGCAGTGCTGTTTACTGTATTTACTCGATTCTACTGCGCCCTCGATTGTAACGCCCGATTTCTACGGAAAAAAACAAAAAACGTAAGACATCGATTGCAACGCACACCCATTTTTCTTGCTGGCTCGCTTGATCACACCACTCGAAAAAACAACTCCTTTCGGGAGCGTCTTCCATTTAAATATGAGGTACGGGCGAAGCTTGTGCCCATCTGACGTGTAACAGAGCATTGCCATCACTGTAGTTTTACCGTGGGTCGATGTCTGCACGCGAACTTGCTTCGCCCCCTTCTTCTCGACGGTTGTGGTGCCAGGCATGTCGAAGTAAAGAGGCGTCTGATCGGCATTCCCAATTTGCTCAAGCAGGTAGCTGTTGTTGTGCCGTAAGTTTAGGACGAACCTCTGAAAACTGTGAAGCTTTTCATCGTACTCCTCCGCAAAACTTTTCGCATATGCCCGTTCCCCTTCGGAGGGAAAGTCTTTCCTCTTCATAAAGTTAGTTAGCCAGCACCTGCTCGCTTTAAACTGGCTCCGCATTAGACCTTTTTCTAAGGCTAATTGCATAGCCCGCACTTGGAGCAGTTCTGTCGTCACGGGCCGCTGTGCCGCTCGCTGCTCAAGCACATACTCGCCGAGCAGCTGTTTAATTTGCGGAAACCAACCCTGCTGTGGTCCACTGAAGTCTTTGCTTCAAGCTTTGCTGTCGACAATCTTCTGCTTTTGTTTCCGCCAGTCCCGCACGCACGTTTCGGGAACTCCGAACGACCGTGATGCGGCCCGATTTCCGTCCGTTTCTGCACACGCGATGACTTTTTCTTTAAAAGCGGCATCGTGGTGCACTCGAGTTTTTGGAGTCGGCCCTTCCATGCCGTCGATGCTAATGCACTACAAGGTGACGAACTCCTCAGCACACATACAAAGTGCCGCACATGGGAAACGCATAAGCAGAAATGGCCGAAGTGCCATGCTGACGCACGTAGGGGGCGGCCATTTAGGAAATGCCGATAGCAATAGAATGACCGTATTCATTTTTTTTTTCGTACTCGATTTTAACGCGCATGCGATTTATAAACTCGCTTAACCGGAAAAAAGGTGCGCGTTAGATTCGAGTAATTACGGTACTTTTCAAATATGTTAAGCACTGTTGTCATTACTATTGAATAATCTTTTCACACTCAGAAAATGAATGTAACTAAATGGAATCGCTGCTTGAATGGAACGACTGGCTCTAGTGTGATTGGTTTTGTAGTTCAACTCTGCACATTGGTCCATCTCGCAGTGATTGGAACTCTTGTTAAACGAAAGTTATATTTTCGGTCTCTCCAGTCGTACTTTTCATCATAAGGATGAAAGAAGCCGGAAAAAAGAAACATGATAAGACAGCTCAACTTGCTTGCAATCAACTGTATGAGAAACTGTAGTGCCAGCAGTGCCAGCGCGGCTTTGTGAGGTTACGCCAGGTTGGGGCGCAGCCCTCGCATTTTTGGTTGCTTGGAAACTGCACAGCGAGTTTTTTTGTAGAGCATGCTTATGCTGCACTGGACAGCATCACTGTTGAAGAGGCGTGCTTAATACAACACAACGCTAACCAGTCTATGAAAATTAGCACTGTGTTGTCTAGAGTGTGCCTTTTCTGTGGTTCCTATTTAGCCTGCACTACCATCAAGAAAAAATCATCATAACTCACTGTAGTGGTTTGCTAGACTCTGAAGACGCAACACTCTCAGTAAATGATAAAAAGACTAGCTACATTTAGCTTCTTTCTTGCGGAGTTGTAAACACTCTAAGAATCCCCACAAATCACGATTGTCTATTGCAGAGAATGCCCAGGATGAACCTGAGGGGACGTCAGTCAGCCCTCCCAGCGTGTCGCCGTCTCCAACTGTGGCCCCAACTCCGGCGGTAGTGCCGCCAGCGACGAGCATTGCCGAAGAGCCTTCGCAGGCTGCATCAATGCCACCTCAGCTACCATCACCAGTGGAAGAAGAGCGACCAAGCTCTCAACAGCCGGAACCTAGCCCTGTTGCAAATGATGGGTGAGCATTCCCTCTCACCCTTTTCTGTGGTCATCATCTAGGGATATAAAACACAAGTAATTATTATTACACTTCACTCAAGCGCATGTCGACACCCAAGTTGCTTTTTATCCTCTTATCAAGGCAGTACAGTGAAATCTGGCTTCAACGAAATTGACGGGACACACGGAAAAATACGTTGTCACGAAATTTCGTTGTAGCAAAATTTCATCTACAGTGAACCTTGTTAGTGTGTACCCGCTTTAAGCGTACTAACCGTTAAAACACAGTTGCAGTGAATCCCCGACCGAGTCTCATAGAGACTAATGCATTCGCAGACCACTTGAGCTGTAGTGTTCGGCCTATGCCTTCCGGCGTGCTAACTGCGTACCGCAATAACATTTTGTGCGACAAAATTTTACTGCTCCGCTAAACTTGCAGATGCCATAATGTGCCGTGAACAGTTTTTCGTCATGTTGATGAGTGCGAAGATCAGCCAATAAGTTATTACGAGTTGTGCGCGATTGCGTCGATGACGCTGCGAGTAACAATCGGGGGAAAAAAAACGAAGGCGAGCTGGCGACCACCGGCAAACGCGCCGGTATGACTTATCGCTGGCGAAAAGCCTTATCACAGCATGCGCGATGATCTCCTCGGGCCGTGCCTCAGGCACGCATGTGGCATAGCGTCACTTTAGGCCTACTGCACGCTTTTAGTGGGCGGCTACCTAAACGCACTGGGCCGCCGATCGCTACCGCTTCATTTTGTGGGACCGTGTTCAAGGGCGCGTTGCTTTACAGAAATGCAAGCAGCTCGCTGTCACGGAGTTTAGCGTTGTGGATCACGGGCACCGAGAATACTTGCTGTATTATGCCAACACGTGCACGGTACAGCAGGCGTAGCGCTGTTGTTTACATGCTGCATACTTTTATTTAGTGACAGCTGATATGCGCCTCCATCCGCTACCAGGACTGCTAGAGCATCACGGAGAACACGTTGCTTGTGGCGTTATCCCAGCAGGCTACTCGCCAAATCTGTGCAGCTAGCGGATCGGCAGTCGCAGTGTGCGTGGAGTGAGCGAAGTGCTGCACGCAACTAGTCATGCAGTAAACAATTTGGCTCTCTGTGACTGTACAGTGTTTAAAAAAGAAAACTGCATCAGTTTTTGCTTAGAAGCAGACCGCGGAGCGACTGTATCACAGACAGCCGATTGTGTCCGTTCTGTCCACGCAGGAAGGAAAGTTATTTCCTTCCTCCATGGTTCTGTCGCTGTACCACGCTGCATACCCCGGATCCCGCGATGGTTTCGAAATGTTCATCGGCGTCTCTATCGCATGCTATCGAGTGGTTCTTCGAGAGTCAGACACTTTTCTGTATCTTGGCAAAAAGAAAGAAATGGTCTTGCGGTGGGCACTTTGGGCAGTATTTCCAGCGGCACTGCGTTTCTACTTTTGTTGGCGGCGTTGGCGCATGTCAGGGGATGCGAATTTGTAGCTGATGGTTAATGCGTAGTACGTTTAGTGCGTAATTATGCCGCTATCCCCGGCAGGTACGTATTAACGGGGTTTCACTGTATAGACCACAAATTGGCAAGTCCTTTACTCCCAGAAAGCGCTTGCATTAAGGGGGGATGCTACACCTTCCAAAAACTCTTTTATTTTTGCGAGTACCTCAGTCAAATTTGGAGAGCCTATGTAGATTTTACTGCTGATTTCAAAAATCTAATTCTTTTTTTGTTGTGACAATTAGTTTTAAAGATGTAATGAACTGCGACTTTTTCAATTAAGGCCTAATCAGCTAATTAACTGTAACTTGGATATTGATGTGCAACCTATAGAACCAATTCGGTATGTTCACAGTGTGCAATAAAGTATAAATCATTGTTCTGGGCTATTTCGAAGCAAAGTTGTGGGATGTTGAATATGACATGAAAAATTTTTCCATCTACACTTGAAACAAAAGATCCATTTAGAGAATTTTCTCCAAAAATTATTACAATAAAACTTACTTTACGACACATCCCCTGCATTTATCTTCGAAACAAAAAGAAATCGTAATGATAACCCAGATAGAACAAGAGATATTGCTCCGGCATAATGGGAAGCACATGAAAATTGTCGTTTTGAGAAATCGAGAAAAAACGTGGGCACACATTTTTATTGCAGAAGATGCAACAAGACAACCTCAAAACGCACCAGAAGCATAGTCTGAATGCATTCTGTGCTCATGCCTCCTCTTCACTAGCTTCCGGAGTTCCAATGAGGCTGTTCTTTTCTTGTTGGAGACAATGCTGCGACGGTGGTCTTTTTCTCTCGCTCTCCTGGCACCAGTACTTGTCGCATTCATGTCCATTTCACCTAAGATTGCCGTTGCAGAATTCAAATTGCCCGTGTTGAAGCGCAGCACTGCTTCTGCAACAGCTGCTTCAACAGCGAACAGGGACGCATGGTGCTCCTTGGGGGCCAAACTCCAGATTACCGAATGTAGGCTCTCGTTGGAGTTCTGCGTTTTGCCGCGTTCGCACCTCTGAAGCAGGGCTCTTTCCGAAAGCCGGGTATAAACCGGTAGTAATGCCTCTGCCACGTCTTTCGGTAGATTGTAGGCATGCCTGGGGTCGGGCTCACCCTTTGCTTTTGCGGCATTGTGCCGACACCATGAAGTTTCACCAGCTGGGCACAGACTGTGGTCCGAGCATTCATCAGTGGAGGTGACGTGGCGGTATGTGGCCATCACAGCCTTTTGCATCTCGCCCACGTCACCTTCATGCGATTTCAGAGCCCGGCCATAATATGTGCTCAGCCTGGTGATCAGCTCACCTGTGAGCCTGCCTTTCCCACCAAGGCCTCTTTTCCCATCGCACTTTTGTTTCTGCACCAGGTTTCTCAATGCGGTGCCCATCCGTTTCTGTACATGATTAATACAGTCTTCCTTCTGCACGTCAATGTAACCATACACCTTGGCGTCTTGTATGGCGCAAAATGTCCTAGAGTCTCCATCAGACAGCATAGTTGTGTAGCGCAGGCCATGGCGTTCAAGCGACCTCTGAAATAGAATTAGAGCCGCCTCCACTTACATTTGCCCCGCTTTGCTGTTCGTATTTTTTTGGCATTTGTGGTTACCCTTCCATTCTTGATAGCCCTCACTACTAGGCTTTGGGCCCACCTCGCAGCCTAGGCAAAAGTTGGAAAGAACGACGTAGTCCAACACGTAGCCACTAAATAATTCGATAACTGTGCCCACGCCGATGTGGGAAGAATGGCCTCGCGTCTTCCACGTGCCGTCGTAGCTAACGGCAATATTGCCCCGGTGGCCGAAGCACAAGTCATCATAAATTGTTCTAACCTTTTCCGCACATTCGCTCATAGCGGACTCAGCCGCTCGCGTTGCAGCGGGTGCCAGCGTGTTCTTCAAATGCCGCTGAAACGTCTTGTGGTGCATACCGCGGTGTGAGATGCCCATTGTTGCGAAAATATCGTTCATTTTCGTTTGGCCGTTGCCGGTAGCCACCATCGCCCTCGAAGCGAGAAGATTTACTTCAAACGGATTGCACGTTTTCGTGCCGTTCGCGCGGGGCGAAGTCCATTCATTCGCGATCTCGCCGCACCTTTCACACTGCACTAGCACTTTCACGGCAAGTCCGTAGTCCCGATCCCCTCTGACGATCGTAGCCGGTCTGTGGCAGGCTTTGCAACACAAGGCACCCATTATCGCGTTTAGGATATCTAGATGCATAAGCAGATAAGGAGCAGCGTGGTCCGAGTCCTGTGCGGTTGCCTCGCTACAACTCGCGGTGAAAAAGTCAATTTTCCGTGCAGTTGCTGGCGCCGATGAAAGCCGGTCGAGCGTCGCTTTCTCCCGGGCATGATTTTCTTCAACTTCGGCGTTTGTCACCACCTTGGCGTCGATTCGTAGTCGTCCGGAGTTCGCTTCACCGTCATCGTCGTCGGAGGCAACGCGCTCGGTCGCACCATCGCTGAACGGCCGCGGAGCGTCGACACATCGTTCGTCGGAGTCAACCAAGGGCTCTGATGACTTCGTAGACTTTCTCCCACGACCTTTGCGTTTCCTGCGACCAAATGCGTGCACGGTCCGATACTTTTTTGCGTTTCCAGGCATGGCGATACGATCAGAAGCTTCAGAGTGCTCTGCCGATTTCGAGGCGTCACAGCGGTAACCCTTTCAAAATGGCGTCGGGTCGCGTATGCAGGCGCAAGCCGCGAGCTTCCAGCCAACCGGAAAGCGCCATTTCAGTCACGTGCGCCGTTTAGCCAATGGCAGTGAGCGCGGCTCTTCGTCTTTGAGGCCCCGTTTTTCGAGCCGGGGAAACGCTCAATGTTGCTTACTGAATAAAAAAAACAGCTGAAAACGCGTTCTTTCAAACAAGACCAAAATGGCGCCGATCGAGCGCGTAGTTCCCGCGTATCGTAGAGCCGAAACCTGCGCTATTCGCCCTCAATTTAAAGGGCAGGACGCCCGTTTTCGGTTTTTTAAAGTTGAATAACGATAAAAGTTGATGGTATTTGGCTATGAAATTTTGTAAATAGGTGCGCAATGATGTCGGGAACGCGAAAAGAAGGTCCGCGAAAACTCGATTTTTTGGCTGATTTTCGGTCCCGAAGTGCCGCGTCCCCCCTTAAACTCTCGCGAACTTGGGCGTACCTGGCCGCAGCACATTGGGTGAACGCATTTTCTCGCATACCGTATTTACTCGTGTAATGAATACACTCGCATAATAAACGCTCCCCCAACTTTATTCATCAAAATTTGGATTCTTTTTTTCCCGCGTAATAAACGCACCCCCTACATTGATCTACTGCAGTCCCGCTAACGGACACCTGGCGCCTCCTCACCCATTGGATCTTTCGTTTTTTATTGTTTTGTCGACCCCCCTTGGCCACCGTGGCTTCACCCGTTGCCGTGTGCGTATTTTTCTTTCTATCTGTGTTGTGTGGCACATTCGCTGTCTTATCTGTGCGCCACAGCGGGGTTCAGGAACGGTGCGCGTGTAGAGACATGGCAGCTGATACCTTCGCTCTGATACCTTCGCTCGCTATGTGCTTATCAGCTGCGATGTCTCTACACTCGCACCTTTCTTGAATCCTGCTGTGGTGCCAAGATATGACGGGGGACGTGCCGCGCACAAATAGAACGAAAAACAATACTGCAACGGGCAAAGGAGGGGCGTGACTTTGGCTCACTGTGGGCTTACAACTGCCCGCGCCAACCGATCAAAGGTCGCGTGCGTGCGATTTTCGAGGGATGACAGGAATTCTTGTTGCGAAGTTCGTCGCTGTCGCGTCGCAGGTTTCTGGAAAACCAGTAAAAAAAAATCGCTCATCGTCCGAAAAAAATCGTGGCGATTTCCACTACACAGTAGCACCCATCGCTTCGCTTGTTATCTGTGCGGAGAGGAACTTCTCATGTAGAAGCGAGGCGGCGGCTGTATTTTGTCGTTAAACTTGTTATTGACAATTTGTTTTGATGCTTCGGGGGTAGCTTGCTACAATGTTGGTTACTTGCTTCAATGTTATACGTCGTCACGGTTGTCATGCGAGGTTGCTGCGAAGTTGGCAAAGTGCGTCGTAGTGTCGTAGCACACGCTTTTTGGCACCCCTCGAGATCATTGCAGATACCACTGTTGCGGTCGAACGATTGCGAGAAAAGATAGCTGCAAAACGCTTTTATGGCGTGCGTGGGTGGCCCGGGAACAACTTGCAGAAGATAGCGCCAGATGAGTAAAGTGCAACAAAGAAGCTATTTCTAAACAGTGTACGCGTATGTAAATTGCTAAGCGATCTGACTTTTTTTTTGCATTATCGCAGTTTTTGCTTCTCCCAAAGAAGATTTCATAAAGTTTACCTCGCATAATGAACGCACCCCTGAATTTCGCTCCGATTTTTTTAGAAAAAAAGGTGCGTTCATTTTGCAAGTAAATACGGTATAACATGATCAAAATATACAGAAAGTTTGGAATCTATGGGAATATCGGTGCGCAAGTTGGCTTTACCGTATGCCTTCATGGTGATGCAAGGAAGGTGGCCATGTGTCAATACGCATGTCCTTTTATATGCCGAGCATTTTTTAGTCGCACAATGTTGCGCTTTAGCGTATTCGGCGCCGTCCACACTTACACTGTGCATGCTCGCGTCTCGTGCCGGCCCAGGAAGACACCTGCAATACTGTCACTCCAGTAGCCATTAAAGGATAAGACCCCGCCGGACGCTCAGCAAGACGAGCATGCACTGTGGGGGTGCGTACGTTTTCCCCGTACACCTCTTCCTCGAACGCGGGTGGTGTGTATATAAGCGTCGAAGCATGCATTCGAAATTCAGTCAAGGGCGTCTTTACTTAGCTTTCGCTGCACTTAACACTTTGCTTTACTCTAGTAGATGCGATCGAAGCAACAGTACCATCAACCAGTATAAGGGCACAACCCAACATCATCGTCCCACCACTCGTTGAAGGCCACACTTCTCCTTCATTCAATAAATATAAAGACGAAATAACAATTAAGCATTCCGAAACCATACCCAATTACACAATATTCACACAAATCCCCCACCTATGCGCGACACATTTACTCGAGTTGCCCCCGTGGAAAGATGTCGGCGGTTTTTTTTAATCTTTTTCTCGCGATTTGCAGTCGGGGGTGCTGGTTATATGCAGGGGCGGGCTATACACAGGAAAATACGATATTCAGATAACCCATGGAGCATGCCAAGCATGCAGCGCTGCAAACGAGCATGCCAAAGCTTCACTAGAGGCCGACTGAAAGCTGCAGCTGAAAGTGCTGAAGCTCCGCACTACGATATCAATCAGTGTACGACTGAAAAGCCGGAACGTTTCGTGCCGTTTTGCAGCTTTATTGCTTTCAATCTGCAGATGTGTCAGCCGCGCACTTTCGCAGCGTATTTCCTATAAATTAATGCGACGATAGCGACCTCAGTTTTCCGTGCAGTGGTTGCGGCAAACTATAGTTCTATTTTCATTCTGTGCACACCGTGCTAGCTGTGCATGCACCTTCAGAACTAACGCCGTTGCTATCTTTCTTCACATCGATGATCAGTATTGGGTCGAGTCAGTACACGTACCTTCGTGGTCGCCCGTGATCACCACTACCGCATTTGTGTTCGCAGCCGTTGCGGCAGAATGTAGTTACTCTTAGACTAGGTGTGCTTTGGCCGCACATACAGCGTTATGACGCCGTGGTAGTCATATATGATCGCTGGGCAAGGGACGACGAGCAGTAGTTTTGTTTTGAGTGCGACGTCAAAAGCATGGTGGAAGAAGCTCTTGAAGAACGGTTTTGTGGCAGCCTGCATGTGCATCAAACCCAGTGGCAGCATGAGGATGGTTGGGCGACCTGTCGCCGAGCATCTCAGTGGTGAAAAATTTACCGGAGTGTGCATGTGAGGGCAGAAAACGTGTCTCCGATGAAGACACAGGTGTTGCAACGCAACTGTGTGCTCTGGATGTCACGAGCTGATCGGAACTGGTTGAGTTGGTAGTGGTATTTTACGACAACCATTGGCATGTTCTTACCCTTAGGTTGTAGTACTCTCGAAAACTTTGTTGTAGCGGAAGTACTCAAGAAAAATATTCCTTGTGACGAGACATTTTTCGCATTGGTTTCTGTGAGCGACTGATGGGGAATCGAAAATTATTCGTTGTGGCAGAAGTTTTATTGTAGTAGACTTCATTATTGCAGGATTGGACTATATACTCAGTGTGATTCAAATTGTCTCATACTTACGTCCATGCTCTGGAATGGTTCCAGCTGTGTCCTCTCCCTCACCATCTCTCAGCACTCACGTTATGGCACAGCGGTGCATCGCAACAGTTGCACTGCAACATCTGTGGCCTTTTCTCCTTACGCACTCTCATCAATCACATGCTTGCTGAGTGTGTTAAAAAAGAAAGAAAAAAGACTGTGCAGTCAGTTGAATAGCCACAGGCTTTCACCAAACGTGCAATTTACAAAGTGTCCTTCTCTTTTTTGCTAAGTTACTTCAGAAAATTTCGTATTTTCGCATTCCTGTCGTGTTTTCGAATCATTGAAATGCTGCTGAATTCAAACTGCACTATTCAATTTATTCTGTCAATGTGCAGCATGTGCTGAAATGCTTTAGTGTAGAAATTCTTTGGCCGTGTTCAAACATTGCAATCTTGCTTTGCAGGCCACCAAAGGAAGCACGGTGTAGTCCAGCAGTGGTGGAAGATGCGCCCGTGGCTCTTCCCATTTCACGGCCTCCATGTCCCTCGCCCGTCTCTCTGGTGGTGCCCAGCATGCCGAGCCAAGTGGCACACCTGGAGCGCTCTCCACAGTTGCTCCCGCCACGCATGTCACCACCCGTGCCACCACCTGCACATCAGCTTCTCGGCCGAGGGGTGCCCACACCTCCGACACGAAATCTGACGCCATCGCCCAAGTTGATGATGTCCGAGGACAAGTTTGACCAACTGCTTCCTCAGGCACCGCCCACCCTCTCTCTGCCAGACCCAAGAGAGAAATCACCGGCAGCACCTGCTGATGCTATGCCATTGTCTCTGATCAAGATGGAAGTGGAAGAGTCCAAGCCACTTCGACTGGTGTCGTCCCCGTCATCACGTGGCCGGCCGACTCCTCCACTTCCAATGCCAGGAGGCATAAACCCGTCTCTAGCGGCCCTGTCGGCCATGCCACCGCCGCCTGTGGAGCCTCTGCTACCATCAGGCATGATGCCCCCCACGGTTAAGAGCCACCTGGTGCGCATAAAAGAAGAAATGAGCGGACCACCCACATTGCTCATGGAAGGACCACCCAGGGGTTTGCCCCCTAATAGTGGCAATCGTATCTCTCCGCTTCCACCGGAGGCCACACAGTCATTGGCTGCCACCGGTCCACCACTGGGGATGCCCAGAGGCCTGTCTCCTCTGGCGTCCCTTCCCCCCTCGTCCTCCTCGTGCTTGCCAGCATCTTCTCTGGCGGCCGCTGGCGCCTCGGCTCCCCCTCGGTCCTCGCCGTCTTCCGTGGTGTCCGGAGCCCCCGTGGAATACCCGGGACCACCCCCGCACCACGTCAAAACTGAGCCCCCGCCTTCTCCTCCGAAAGAGCGTCTGAGCGCGCCTTCCCCTCCTCACCACATGCCCTCCTTTTCTCATTCCTCCTCACCGGCCCACGTCAAGTCGGCGCCCTGCTCTCTTTCCGTGCCGACCCCTCCAACGTCCACCCCCACCTCTTCGGCTCCTAGCCACCACTACCCCTTCTCGCCCCCTCTGTTTGCCACCTCCTCTGTGGCGGTGTCCACGGCCGCCTCCCCTCTGGGCGGTGGCTACCCGAGTCCGCTGGTGACTGCTGGTCGACAGCCGCTGGGAGCGCCTCCGCCCGGTGCACCTCAACAGATGCATCCGGGATTCCCGTACCCCGCCTACTTCAGCCCCCAGCTCTACTCTCCACACCTTCACTTTCCTCAGACGCATCCTCAGTTTGCCCCTCCACCCCCTGCACCCCCGCCGCCAGCGCATCAGGCGACGGCGCCGCAGCACCATTCAAAAACGCCCCCTTCGCGCGCCCCCGTATCCATGCCGCTCCCTCCTCAGCTTCCGCTGGACGGCGGAGGCGGGGGAAGCGGGCATCGGGTGGCCCCACCTTCCCACCACGGGGGCTCCGGCGGCCACCACAGTGGCGGGCTGTCGTCGCATCACGGCGGCGGCAGCTCCCACCATGGTGGCCCCCCAGTCCACCATATTGTGCCCGAAGAGGAGGAGGAAGAGCCCGAGGCCCAGCAGCTGGTGAGGGGACCCAGCCCCGAGCCCAAGGTTGAAGACAGCGAATGCCACCGCAGCCAGTCCGCCATGTGCGTGTTGTTTGCTTCATAGGAGTTCTATAAAGTAGTAGTGATTTCACCTGCATTGTACAACTTGAGCACAATTCTTGTTATTCCCTCAGATAATTTATTGAAAGCCGCATTCAGTGCACTTAATTAAGCATTTTTGTGACATCAAGCACCTCTCGAGCATTTCAGATTGCTTAGTTCCCCCCAGACATGTGTCGCAAGTTTTATTAGTTCAAATACCTAAACACCTTCATAGACTTTGTCATGAATTTTGACATTGTTGCTCAGCCAAACATAAGGTTTAGGTAGTACAGTCAGACCCCGCTACAACGAAACTGACGGGTCGCGGAAAAAATTTCGTTGTAGTGAAATTGACAAAAATATAGCTCATCTGAGCTACCAAAACGAGGAACATTTATTCTCGAAATTCAAAAAATGTCCGCTGCTTCCTATTCTTTCGCAGCAGCATCACGACGTGATTCTCACCCAGGCATAGCGAGGCCATTGGGGAAAAGCATGCTAAAACAACGCCTAAAACCGCCTTCGTGGATGAACCAAACAGTGGCATTAACACGTTAACACCAGCAGCTGTTCGCCGTCAAAAGTATCCGACAACGCTCAGATGGAGGCAGGGTATCGCGTAGCGGCGACTTTTGCATTATTTTATGCCATTCTTATCAAATATCACTTGCGGCTTGCTGATTTTGTTGAGAATGCGGACGAACAGCCGCTCTGATTAGTTACCACACTGGCCAAGTGCAAACATAATGATAGGTATCGGAATCGGAAAAGGCATCTTGCCGCGGTTGCACCCAGCAGCTTGGAAAAGGAAACCATGAACTGAGCCACTGAGCTTCAGCATCGGATCGTCTGCAGCTCAAAACAAGCCAGTGGCAAAATAAAAGCAGGGCAGTCTCATTGCCATCGCTATCGAGCAATGGTCCACGCCCATGCTTGCTGAACAGCGGTGGTTATTGGCGGTGCCAATGCGTGTTTTAAACTTCGTTAACGCATTTCTAGGCTCTGCAAATGCATCAAAACATTAAAGATTGGTTTTTACTGCATAGCAATAAGTATCTGTGCCTGTAATTGCTTCGTAAAATTTCACTGAAGCGAGACAATCGAAGAAAAAGTGTTCGTTGTGGCGACAGTATTTATGCATTGACTCCTATTGACGGCTGACAGGGAATCGTGAATTTTTCGTTGCAATGGCAATTTCATTGAAGCAGCGTTCGTTGTAGCGGAGTTCGACTGTAATAACAAACCTTTAATTGTAGTATTCACGTCAACCGAGAAAATATACAGTTCGAGCAGAAACCAGCCAGCACGACAGTCTTTCACTTGTGAAGTCCAAGTGCACTGCAGTTCTGTGGGCGGAGCTGACTTTTAAAGACGATAGTCTTTCTTGGGGACCATCGACGGAAAAATTTTGGCCTGTCTGTCTGTACATTTGTCTGTTTGTACATTCTTAACAATACCTCAAACGGTCGCCTCCATCCGCAGCGCCCACCAATATTGCTCAAGATCCAGCGTTCATACTTCAGCAATTGTAAATTAAAAAGCAATTTCCCATATCTGAGGTATCATAACAACACGTCGATGTTTTGTATGGGTGCTTCTATACTAGAGAAGGCACACGCAAGTAATTCTAAGGACTGTAGCGTTAAAACGCGCTGCGCTGACAGGGCAACACCTTGCTAAAACAACACGAGGTGGCACCTGCCTGTCGCTTTGCGTTCTACACCTTATCACCTCCGAGAATGGCACGCATTTTTCTTCGCAGGCACGCACGCCTTCCTTCGTTTTCGAAAATAATGGCCAGGTGGCACTCGTGTCTAATGTGCCTCGATGCGCTCGTTCGCCTCCGCAGCATGCTCGAGGCACTCTACCGCAGCGCCTCCAGAATACCATCCACCGATTTTATTGCGGAGAACATCAAATAAGTGTTTTGTTCACTGTCTCCGGACGCAAGACTATCGTCTTTCAACGGCATTTGCAATGTGACATGCAGATCCGGGGCCAATGTTTTTCTTCTTTAATTTAACTGAGCATTTAACACACATTGTGCCTTGCACAAGGGTCATGCTGGAGTTTTTGAAAATTATTGGCATCTCTAATGGCAAGCGCACAACACTAATACAAAGTAATGTGACAATTTTAGTTTGAGCAGCCTGGCAATGTGAAACTACCAGCTCTGCCACTACACCAGAAAGTACTGTTGGAGTGCGCATTCATAATTGCGTTGCTTTCCAAGCTACTCATGAAGTGTTGATTTCAAGTTTTCATAACGTTTGCTGTATGAGGAACAGCACTTTCACGCAGGTGTTTGCCTTATTTATCTTCAGTAATATTTTTTCCAGCCAAGTAAATGCAAATAGCGTCTTGATGGTTGTGGATGCATTAGTCTTGACTAAATAGTTGCTGTTCTTTTAATGTTACCATGTAGACGTTGTCGCCTTTGCAAAGTGTGCATTGTTGACGAATGTCGCATCTTTTCTCGCTGCACTACACCAGCTTTCTGCGGCACTGGAGTCGAGGAGAATTCAACTCTTGCGCTCGCACGGACTTGACCTTCAAGCCCGTTCCTGATTCGAAGCTGGCGAGAAAAAGGGAGGAGAGGGCACGCAAGGCAGCCGAGAAGGAAAGGGAAGAAGCCAAGGTGAGTGGCAGCACATGGATGCCCCAAAATGTGGTAGTTGGTGTGCTGCTAACACAGCTTCAAACTTCGGTGCCTCTTCACCAAAGTTTGAAGTATCATGTTTTCTATACATGAACCTTCACTGCAACGAAATCCCACAATGTTGAACATTTTGGGTCTCCTGCAGATTTTGTTGTAGCGGCTATATGTGCGACCAGTGCCTTAGAAAACCCGTGTTGTTGATAAGCGCAAGAGTGGCATCAGATTTAAATTATGGGCACATTCTGCAACTTTTTGTCTTAGCAGATTTTCTGGGGCTTGAAAAGGTGTGAACATGCTCAGAAAACGTGGACAAATATGCATAGCAGAGCGTTGTGCAGTATGCAGTTTTTAATGTAACTGAACATGCTACCAGAGCACTTGGCAATTAGCCCTTAATACTCTGCTTTCTCACTTTCTCACACTTATATCCCACCCCTGTATATCACCAGGCTTCCAAATTAGTAAGCATAGAAGAAAAAATTTTAGCAACTGAACTATCTGGATATTCTTGTGAAGCTGCCTTCATTTTCATAAAGCAGTGCCCTGACTTCAGCTCAGATTTTACTGCATATTTTGTACGGGTTATAAATGACAAAATACGATACGTGGTTACAGTAGAGTATTCTGAGCAAGCCTTTTACAGCAAAATGCTGTTATGAGAACACAGCACGGGTCACGTGGGGCGCCGTAAATATCCGGGGCAACTGTCGGTGTCCCTAACCACTATTGCATAAAATAGGGGAAAAAAAAAAAACCTCAAATAATGAATACCGAGGACATAGTGGAAATCAAACCCTGGAACACTGCATGCCAGCCCAGTATTCTACTGCTGAGCCACACCGGTACTTGGGACTCGTTCGCAAACTTGCCTTAAGCAGACTTGATGTGGGGAAAGGTATTGTGTCAATACGAGTAATAAAGCGTTTTAGAATAGCAAGAGAACAACCAGGCGTCAATGTGAATTGCGTTACCAGTAGGTCGTCCAGTGCTCCAATCCTTTAGAAAAGCTTGTTCTTCGTCACATGTTAACTATGGCACATACCCACTTCAGGCCTAATTATTCATTGTCGTCAGCCACTGCATAAAATATTTGCACAACATTCCTTGCAAGTGTGTAAACGACACTACGCCTCCAATAATGAGGAGTGATAGTATAGTGAATGTCTGCCTGCTTACTGCACAGAAATTATGATTACAGTAAAAGCTCGTTAATTTGACACCCGTTAATTCGGATAATTCGGACGGCTCTATTGGTTCCAGCCAAAGTGCATGTTAATCTATGGGACCAAACCTTCGTTATTTCGTCGGAATTCGGCTCCGCACCGCTTAATTCGGACAAATGCTGACGGCTGCTGCTACACAAAAGTGTGATAAAGCAGCGCTGGCACGACTGGAGTGAAACCGAAACCTGAGTGGCATCGCCATCATCATCAACTAGTGGGGCGATCGCAGCGTCACCGAACGTCACCGAGCGTCACCGAACAGTTTTGGGAGGGGTCCTTCCCTTCATCAGATGAAGGGAGGACCCCTCCCGAAACTGTTGGGAAATAAATATATTTATCCTTGTTGACAACGCTCCCGTTGTGCCATATCCCATACCATCATATATATATGTATATATGTGTATATATATATATATATATATATATATATATATATATTTATGTAGTATTTATATACGGTGGTTGACGGCGACGCCGGTGCCGGCAGCAAAATCCAACCGAGAATGTCCCTATAATTGCTATTGCAATAAAACATTGCGCGTCGGTAATTCAAGCCAATGAAAAACATGGAACAGCGCTCTTGTAAAGTGCACCGGCCACGTCAGCCAATGGAAGACCCGGTACGACGCACTTGAAATGCGCGCCGAGTGGAAGCCAATCGGCAACCCGGGGCCGACCATTAGATTGGTCATTCTGCTTGGATTATGCCTTTTTGAGACGGTGCAAATTACGCACAAAGGAAACGAGCTTCAAATATAGCTCAAGATGGTGGCACTAGGCCCGCTGCAACACTTATGGAGCGTGCTAAGTTGGAACAAATTTCGTTTTTTGGGGGACGATTTACTACTGCCGGGGTGCTTTTAAGGCCCATTTTATTGCATTTCCTGACCGAATTTAGCATTAGTAATTTGAGAATAGGTGCTCAGAGCTACAAACACCCCGAAAATAAGTTCTACGAAAAAATTCATTTTTGGGGTCATTTTAGATCGTTAAGACTCGCGTCCCTTCTAAGTAAGTGATAACACAAACAAGCCACCATTCGTGCTGCTTCATTGAGCAAGACCACTAAGTGCACTACAAGGTCGTGTTGCCTGCATGAACGAAAAGCAGTTCATTCGCCGCGGTGGTGTAGCATTACGCGCCTTGGCTGCTGACCTGAAGGTTGCGGATTCGATCTCGACCACGCCGAACGCATTTAGATGGAGGCAAAAGGGTAGAGGCCCGTGTACTACAACAATTTGTCGTGTTTTTACTGTTCCCTTGTGATGGGCACAATAACTACGGCGAATATATATATGGCGAAATTCAAGCTCGCTGTTATAAAGTTTTGCCAAAGAAAACAAGAACTGTGCCGCTGCCAAGCATGGCAGTGCGAAGTTTTTCGACGTGGGTCGTTTGGTACGAGAGAAAGCAGAAGAGTGAGCGTTTGCTAATATAAATTTTCTTCGGTTGAAGACTTCTTGAACCGTGCCAAAGCTTAGGTCCTCCGGTATTGCCGTATTGTGGGACCTAGTTTCTCTCAGCAGTGTCGCGAAAAGCTTCAAGAAAATGGGGCGTTCGAACGGGCTCGATCGAACTGTGGACGACGCACATAGGCGCGCTTTTGGAGGGCGTTGGCGGTGGCGACAGTGGCCACGACGACGATTCCCATTCAGACCTTTGGTCAGCGATTCCGACTACGCTTAACTGGATCAGGCTAAGTAAAGTACGTGCTAATTCTGTTAAATAAACATGTACATTGCGTTTGTGCTCCAGTTTATTTTTTAATGTATGTACTGTGTGCCTTAGGTCTATTGCACATTATTTCGAATGTGTCTGCTAAATGTCCACGTAATTTATGCACCCCCCTTTTGAAGCTCAAAAATCATGAAATAAAAGTGCGCAAATTATGTGAGTAAATATGGTAGACATGTCAATGGCAAAATTTCAAGTGGGAAGGGGTTTGTAACTGCCCCTGACTGTGTCAGTGCCCAGTGACTATGCCCCTGAGCTCTTTTCTCATTGTTCCCCATTGTTTCCTTACGTCAACCATATGACTTTAGTTCTTTTATCAATTTTTTTCATTATTTCCTTATGTCGACCATATGACTGACTTAACCGTTCACTCTTTGTAGCAACGGCTCAGCTCCTTGGAACACAGGAGTGGGGCGTCCGAGAGCAAAGCGGGCCCCAGCGGCCACCCATGCGACTTCCCCCCTGGTGCGAATCCCTATAGGACAGCACCTCAGCGCGGTGCAGCAACCAACCCATACGCGGCAGCGGCAGCTGCGGCTGCCGCCGCGGCAGACACCCCTGCGTTGCGGCAGCTGAGTGAATACGCCCGGCCGCATGCGGGCTTCTCACCCAGTGGGTACCCCTCGGCTAGGGCCCATCCAGCAGCCGCTGCAGCAGCAGCGGCCGCTGCTGCCATGGACCCCATGATGCTACACTACCAACTGGGCATGTATGCTGCAGCAGCTGCTGCCTCGAGAGAGAAGTGAGTGTTTCCTCACGCTCTGTGAGAAGATGCTTTATGCTGGCTTCCTTTACATTCGATAGTGAGGCGTTTGTTTGGGGAAGGTAATTGTGAAGGCAAATTTAGGGCCAAGTAAGACTCTGACCTGTCCTGTGGTGCTTTTGCAATCGCAGTGGACGGAAGCCACTACAGCGGGTTGCAAAAATCGCAGTCTCTGTAATTTCCAATATTCCACCCCCACCTCAACCCCCGCCGCTGTGGTCTCTCAAATTTTCACGCTGCTAGGTTGGCAGGTATGCGTGAACAGGTGCTTTCGCCTTTGGCTTTCAGAAAATTTGATGTAAGCGGCACCATACCTATTGGAGTCTCATGTAGAAGTCTTCATCAGGGGTATTTGGGGTACGAGAAATGAAAAATAAATAAAATCTCTGGGCAAGATTTTTAATTGTCTGAAAGTGATTGTTCAAGAATTCTGCCTGTGCGCTGTACGGTAGGGTCCAGGCTTTCAAGTAGTGTTTCGTTTGAAGGGAAAAACCAAACAGTGTGTTCCCATTAACAGTAGGTCAGACTTTACATCTGTTCCCTAAGAGTTCTTCAATCACACCAGTAGTGGAACTCCGTTTCAAAACCTAAACGCGCCCATAGGCAAATCTTTTAAGAGGCTAGCAAATAGGCACACCACCTGAGAGCTTTGACAGAAAACACATCAGATAGTCACAGTTTACTCTATCACTCCGCGAATCGCTGCATCTAGGATTAGAAGTACCTCCAGCAAAGTTTGAATGGTCCTATGACTGCATTGTCAAAAGCTACAATTTAAACTTCTAACAGGAATGCTTTGCTTGTGGTCGTGTGCTATGCAAAACATAGAAAAATTTCATTTCGTAGGTTGTTCCTGCGCAGGAATGTGATGCCACAATTGGCAGACCTTTGCATTTTTGTCCGCTGTTGTGTCCGAAATTTACCAGGAGTGTATGGGGAGTCTCGCAACTCGTACGATTGAAGAACTCTGGTGTTCCAGCAGGGCTAACGGGCGTTATTTCTTGTTGCAAACTTTCAATGGGGCTAATGCGGGGGCTGCTCTTCCCTCCCGCCGACACCACTGTAGCAGTCTGCGTCTGGACCTGGAGTTGGAGAAACGCGAGCTGCAGGACAAGCTAAAGGCCGAGCTGGAGCTCAAGTCACGGCTCCCCCAGGCATACGACCCGCACTGGCTGGAGCTGCAGCGGAGGTATGCGGCTGCGGCGGGGCTGGGAGCGGCCGGGGGTGCACTGGGGGCCGCTGCGGCGGGCATGTCCCCCTTTGCACTCTACGGGGACCAGAGAGACCGGCTGGGTTTACCCCCAGACGACCGGCTCCACCCGGCCGCTGACCGCCTCGCCCTCGCTGCCGCCGATCCCCTGCTGAGGTAAGCGGGCTACGACGCCAACTTTTTTAGACCCCTTGCCGAATGAGAGTGCTTTCTTGTCTTGTGAAGATGCTAAAGCTGTAGTCACTTGAAAGACCAAACTGCGATCTGAGCACGCAGATTGCATATTATTGCATGACTGTACTTCACTCATTCACGTGGCGCTCGTTTGGTCCATGCAATGCAATCCATGAGATGGAGACCTAAAACATACGTGTGATGAAGCATCCTTATAAGAGCCGATAATGCACATCTACATCACGTGGTTATTGTTAGTGTAATGCACAAATGTCGAATGGGCAATAACTTCACTCAATCGGACATTATTGTAAAGCGCAAGACTAAGTGAAAGCATAGGGTATTTTCTCGCATATAACCGCTTCTGCATACAATCTCCACCCCCACTACTAACCACAGATAATTTTACCCTGACTGATAAACAATGCACAAAAGCTGTGCCAAATGTCAAAAGAGGAAAGGAAGGAAGCGACACGCATTGTTACGTCTTTCCTTCAGTGTTTATTTTTTTTACTTTTAACATGATAAATCTTTACCATATTTCAAGGACCTTGAAAATGTTTGCTAGTCTAACTTCTAATGTATCAGTGTGCTTGTGGACAATGCTCCTTGCATTTCTGACATTTCTTTTTGTTTGTTTTTGTTTTTTGCCCTCAGGTTGCAGATGGCAGGTGAGCTGCACGCAGTGCCCCTGACGCATGCGCACGCCCACACACACCTGCACCTGCACCCCCCTCATCATGACCCGCTCTCGGCAGCAGCTGTGGCCATGGCGATGCCCCCCGGTGGGGAGCCCCCTCCCTCGGCCGGGCCGTACGGAACCGGGTACCCGCCCGGTGGTCCAGGTGCAGCACCCCCAGGGAGTGCTGGTGGCCCTCCTCGAGGTGCGCCGCACGGACCACCGCCGGGTGGCCCACGGCCACAAGACCTGATGCACCCTGCTGCTGCTGCTGCGCTTATGCGTTCTTCCTACGAGGAGCAGCTTGCACATCAGGTAAACCAACCTGTCGTCAACTCCACTCCCATCCCGCTATGGCATCTCTGTAGCTAGGCTGTGTCTGTGCAGTTTGGTCCACAATACAGGAAACTTAGTAAATGGAAATCTCTTGAAGGGGGTTACTTTTGATGGGCAACCATTTATGTATACCGTAATTACTCGAATCTAACGCGCACCTTTTTTCCGGTTAAGCGAGTTCATAAATCGCATGCGCGTTAGAATCGAGTACGAACAAAAAAATTATGGCCAATCTATTGCCATTGGCAAATCCAAAATGGCCGCCCCCTACGTGCGTCGGCATGGCGCGTCGGCCATTTCTGCCTATGTGTTTCCCATGTGCGGACACTTCGTACGTGTGCTGAGGAGTTCGTCATCTAGTAGCACATTAGCATCGACGGCGTGGAAGGGCTGACTCCAAAAACCCGAGTGCACCACGATGCCGCTTTTAAAAGAAAAGTCATCGCGTGTGCAGAAACGGACGGAAATCGGGCCGCATCGCGGTCGTTCGGAGTTCCCGAAACGTGCGTGCGGGACCGGCGGAAACAAAAGCAGAAGATTGTCGACAGCAAAGCTTCACGCAAAGGCTTCAGTGGACCACAGCAGGGTCGGTTTCCGCAAATTAAAGAGCTGCTCGGCGAGTATGTGTTTGAGCAGCGAGCGGCACAGCGGCCCGTGACGACAGAACTGCTCCAAGTGCGGGCTATGCAATCAGTCTTAGAAAAAGGTCTAATGCGGAGCCAGTTTAAAGCGAGCAGGTGTTGGCTAACTAACTTTATGAAGAGGAAAGGCTTTTCCCTCCGAAGGGGAACATGCATATGCGAATACTTTTGCGGAGGAGTACGATGAAAAGCTTCACAGTTTTCAGAGGTTCGTCCTAAACTTGCGGCGCAACAACGGCTACCTGCTTGGGCAAATCGGGAATGCCGATCAGACGCCTCTTTACTTCGACATACCTGGCACCACAACCGTCGAGAAGGAGGCGAAGCAAGTTCGTGTGCTGACATTAGTCCACGGTAAAACTACAGTGATGGCAGTGCTCTGTTACACATCAGATGGGCACAAGCTTCGCCCGTACCTCATATTTAAATGGAAGACGCTCCCAAAAGGAGTCGTTTTTTCGAGTGGCGTGATCGTGCGTGCCAGCGAGAAAAATGGGTGCGCGTTGCAATCAATGTCATACTTTTTTCTTTTTTCGCGGTGGAAATCGGGTGCGCGTTACAATCGAGGGCGCGGTAGAATCGAGTAAATATCTGAACGAAATTTTCACAGTTTGTGTATTGAGATGTGCAAATTCTAAAAATGTAGTCAATCTTTTTATACATCAAGTAGTCTCGAAGATACTCCACAATCAATGTATAACCTGGGTTCCTTGTTTGGGGCCTAATTAGCATCTAAGCAGGAAGCACCAAAACATTGGCGACAGTCTAGAAACAATGTAGAAGTCTAAGGAGTGCAATATGCTATAAATCAATTTCCTGGGCCAATTTCGACAAGTTAGAGGACATCAATGTTTACAAAAAAAAAAAGCCACCTTCACACATCATGCATCTGACCCATTTAAAAAACTTTTGATCTGTATATTGCCTTCAAAATAGGCATATTGCATACTGCATGCATTTATATTTCAGGCAAAAAAGAATTATTATGATACCGTATTTACTCGATTCTACCGCGCCCTCGATTGTAACGCGCACCCGATTTGCACCGCGAAAAAAGAAAAAAAAAACGTAAGACATCGATTGCAACGCGCACCCATTTTTTTTTCGCTGGCCCGCACGATCACACCACTCGAAAAAACGATTCCTTTCGGGATTGTCTTCCATTTAAATATCAGGTACGGGCGAAGCTTGTGCCCATCTGACATGTAACAGAGCATTGCCGTCACTGTAGTTTAAGGGGGGGCGCGGCAAGTAAAGTGCCGATTTTGGTCAAAATATGCGATTTTCTGATTTATTTTTTTTCGTAATCTTCAGACCTTCAACTTCCTTGTTCTAAAATATTACAGCGAAACGTGCGCTACAAATCCCGCAAATAGTGTTTTTGCCGAGGCTAGTCGCCGAAAAGTGCGAAAAAAAAGCCCCTGAAACGGTGTTGTTCACGCCGCACAAACGCGCCAAGTTGTTGACCGTGGGCCGCCATTTTGGTAGCTTTGGAAAGAGGAGAAAGCCGGCTTCCTGATGGTCGCGGTCTCGTATTTCGCCGAGTGAAAATAAAAGCGCGAGAAGCAAGTAAAAAAACGAAAACGAAGAACGGCAATTGGCTGCGCGGGTCACGTGGTAGCAGGCGCGACCTCTTACTGGTCAAAGCTGCGCCGCGCACCTTTGGCAACCTTGGAAGCGCGAGCGCATCTGCGGCCGCCGTGTCGAGAATCATCCGGCGTGCGCTTCGTTTTTTGCCAGTTTGCTGTTTTTGTGATAGTTCGCGTGCTTTTTTTTACCAAGCTTTGTTTACATCGGTGGTCTCTTCTGAGTGCTTGCTCATACTGCGGTGCTATGTTGCCGCAAAAAAAGTTCCGGAGCGTCCACAAGTACGGCAAGCGTCGGAAAGCTTGGAACAAAGGGCAGACGACTGCGGCTGCCGTCCCAGTCGCAGTTCCGGACGGAGCATGCTCTTCAAGCGTCACGGAGCCTCTACTCAGACCCTTCGCTGATTGTTGTGAGGCCGAGAGTGTGGAAGGTGCCACATCGTCGTATGTCAGACCGCCGGATGCCGTCGACCGTGATGGACGCTCTCGCAAACCCGCTTGCGGTGGCACCGCGTCGGCAGCCGTTGCAACTCCGGGCGTGCGCGCGTCGAACATTCTATCGCGAGTTTCGGCCCAGATTCCGAGCAGTGAAGAAATCGCGCAGCGGGCGCAGACAAGGCGGGATGTTTTGGATGCCGTAGCATCGAAGTCCGCTTCAAAGCGGAAGCTCGAGCTTCTGAACGAAGGCTGCGACGAAAATGACGGCGGTAAGGACTCCACATTCTTCATTGTAAATAAGAAGATGCTGAACGGTCTGCTTTCGTCAGTAAAGTGCAACAAGTGTGACGAAGGGTCGATACGCCTCGAGACTACGCACTGCCTTGGACTCGCAGCGAGGATGGAACTTTTTTGTGACAATTGTGGCAGAGTGAACAGTGCGTGGTCGTCCCCGAGGTGCTCCGGGCAACAAAAAACGAACCCCTTTGAGGTAAACGTGCGTGCTTTGAGGGCTGTGCAGTCAGTTGGCAGAAAACAATCTGCCATAAATGACATTTTTTCTGCGATGGACATTTCGCATCGAGCACTGCACCACAAGTCCTACCAGAGACTGCAAAGGAAGTACAGCCACCCTGCCACCACATCAGCTGCCACCCGCATTGAAGCAGAAAGTGCACAGAAGGTGCATGACATTTACAAGGACCTAGGAGGAGTGCCAGGCAACATTGACGTCATTTACGACGGCACGTGGATGACGAGGGGGCACAGAAGTCATATTGGCGTGGGCTGTGTAATCGAGCTGTACACAGGCTTGGTCTTGGACCACTGTGTCCTGTCCAACTACTGCCAAGGCTGTGCTGTTGGCCCCAAGCCTGGTGACGACAACTATGAGGAGTGGCTTGAGAAACACAAGCCACAGTGCCAAAAGAACACCGATGCTAATGCAGGCCAAATGGAAGTAGAAGCAGCTAGGATCATGTTTGAAAGATCGTTTACCAAGTACAAGCTTCGATACATCAATGTGCTCTGCGACGGTGACAGCCGTACGTACCTTGCCCTCACGCAAGACAAGGTGTATGGCTACATGGTGATTAAGAAACAGGAGTGTGTGAACCATGTGAAAAAAAGAATGGGCACTTCCTTGCGCAACCTTCTTGATGAGCACAAATCCAAAGGCCGAGGACTGAGCATGGGTGGCAAAGGCCGGCTGACGCAGGGCCTGATAAAGAAGTTGACGAATTATTATGGCTGGGCCATTAAGAGCCACCCCAACGATGTTCCTGGCATGGAGAGGGCCATCATGGCCACTTATTACCATGTAACATCCACAGACCAGGATCCACACCACAACCTGTGCCCAAGTGGGACTGACTCCTGGTGCCCGCACAATCAGGCATTGGCCAAGGGAGAGCCGCTGCCGCCTCACAAACATAAACTGCCCCCTCACGTGCGAGTGGCACTGCTGCCAATCTACAAGCGCCTCTCGAACAAAGAGCTCCTTGAAAGGTGTGCGCAGGGAAAAACCCAGAACGCTGTGGAGAGTATGAACAGCCTCATTTGGTCACTCCAGTCCAAGAGCCAGTTCGCCTCCCTTCGAAGTGTGGAAAGTGCAGTTGCAGATGCAGTCTGCCGTTTCAATGGTGGCTGCAAGAGTGCGCTGCAAGAGATCACTGCTCAACTGGGCTTCAATCCAGGAGACTGCTCTTTGCGGCGAGCAGCCGAAAAGGATGCCAAAAGGGTAAAGAGGGCTCAAAAGGCGCATTTTTCCACGACAAAGAAGCGCAAAACTGGGTTGCGCTCTACAGAGGCCAAGGCCACAGCATCTCAGGATTACTGCCCAGGAGGATTCTGAGTGTTTTAGGCATGTTGTGAACTTCCAAACAAGAGTGAACTTTCAAAGTCAGTTTTCTCAACTCTTGATTTTCGCCTATGTGCCTTCGCTAGAACATCTGTCATTTTCTAACAAAGACTGATAGAGTCGTTCCGTTTTTTGCACTAGGCTCAGGAGGCCTTTAGCAGTGCAATAAAGCTTTATCTCTCTTCTTACTCATCATTTAAAATTTTTAGAACACATTTTATAATTACTGCGATGTGTGCGCAAAACAACATCCATGTTTTAAAAATTTTATTTATGGTTACAAGAACTAGAAAAATCAACTAATAGCTTCTTTGCACAAGTTGATGCTTTGGGAACATAATAATATGAAAAAATAATTTCATTTAGCAATAATTATCTCTTTAAGTGTGAAGAGCATTAATTAGTATAATTATGCTTGTAACTCAAAAAGTACAAGAGGTATTTGAAAACGGTTTTCATATTTGGAATCCTCACAATCATCCACATACACACACCAAATTTCATCACAAACAGTACATTAATAAAAAAATTAGTTTTACTTGCCACGTCCCCCCTTAACCGTGGACCGATGTCAGCACGCAAACTTGCTTCGCCCCTTCTTCTCGACAGTTGTGGTGCCAGGCATGTCGAAGTAAAGAGGCGTCTGATCGGCATTCCAGATTTGCCCAAGCAGGTAGCCGTTGTTGCGCCGCAAGTTTAGGACGAACCTCTGAAAACTGTAAAGCTTTTCATCGTACTTCTTTGCAAAAGTTTTCGCATATGCATGTTCCCCTTCGGAGGGAAGAGCCTTTCCTCTTCATATAGTTAATTAGCCAGCATCTGCTCGCTTTAAACTGGCTCCGCATCAGACTTTTTTCTAAGACTAGTTGCATAGCCCGCACTTGGAGCAGTTCTGTCGTCACGGGCCGCTGTGCCACTCGCTCCTCAAGCACATACTCGCGGAGCAGCTCTTTAATTTGCGGAAACCGACCCTGCTGTGGTTCACTGAAGCCTTTGCTGTCGACAATCTTCTGCTTTTGTTTCTGCCGGTCCCGCACGCACGTTTCGGGAACGACCGCGATGCGGCCCGATTTCCGTCCGTTTCTGCACACGCGATGACATTTCTTTTAAAAGCGGCATCGTGGTGCACTCGAGTTTTTGGAGTCGGCCCTTTCACGTCGTCGATGCTAATGCACTACTAGATGACGAACTCCTCAGCACACGTACGAAGTGCCGCACATGGTAAACACATAGGCAGAAATAGCCGACGCACCATGCCGACGCACGTAGGGAGCGGCCATTTTGGATTTGCGATGGCAATAGATTGACCGTAATTTTTTTGTTAGTACTGGATTCTAACGCGCATGCGATTTATGAACTCGCTTAACCAGAAAAAAGGTGCGCGTTAGATTCGAGTAGTTACGGTAGCTCGAATGGAACAGAAGTTATTTTCTCTGCCAATTGGCAAATGTTCTAAAATTGCTGTCCTCAGGAAATTGAAAAAATAATATTGCCGCTCCTCCGCGTTGCTTTTGCAAGCCAAATCTCTTCTCTACCCCCTCCGGCATCCAACCAAAAGGTCACGTGCGCATGACGTGCCCGAACAAGCCCAAGTCCTGTGCATGCGTGCAGCGTACTTTTTTTTTTTTTGCTGTTGTTGTTGTTGATTGTCAGTGTCTACTGCCTGTATCTGCTGGATGTTTTGGAAACGCTGGCTTAGACGCGGTAGAATAGATGAGCACAATGAGTGCGCGAACGCGTAGGAGTGTTCCATGGTGGTCCTCTGCTCGATGCGCGGACCGCGGGGACACGAACGCATGCAAAACGCTGGCACATTAGCCCGGCACCTTGTTGCTATTCACGGGGACAAAAAAGAACGCTCACATTCCCTTATTGTGTATCGTTATTTATCTAGAGATTTATTAATCTCTTCAAGCAACAAATACATAATCTACGCATGTTCTGTTACCGTATTTACTCGATTCAACCGCGCCCTCGATTGTAACGCGCACCCGATTTCCACGACAAAAAAAAAAAGTAAGACATCAATTGCAACGAGCACCCATTTTTCTCGCTGGCCCGCACGATCACACCACTCGAAAAAACAACTCCTTTTGGGAGCGTCTTCCATTTAAATATCAGGTACGGGGGAAGCTTGTGCCCACCTGACGTGTAACAGAGCATTGCCGTCACTGTAGTTTTACCATAGACCGATGTCAGCACGCGAACTTCCTTCGCCCCCTTCTTCTCGATGGGTGTGGTGCCAGGCATGTCGAAGTAAAGAGGCGTCTGATCGGCATTCCCGATTTGTCTAAGCAGGTAGCCGTTGTTGTGCCGTAAGTTTAGTACGAACCTCTGAAAACTGTGAAGCTTTTCATCGTACTCCTCCGCAAAACTTTTCGCATATGCCCGTTCACCTTCAGAGGGAAAAGCCTTTCCTCTTCATAAAGTTAGTTATCCAGCACCTGCTCGCTTTAAACTGGCTCCGCGTTAGACCTTTTTCTAAGGCTAGTTGCATAGCCCGCACTTGGAGCAGTTCTATTGTCACAGGCCGCTGTGCCGCTCGCTGCTCAAGCACATACTCGCAAAGCAATTCTTCAATTTGCAGAAACCGACTCTGCTGTGGCCCACTGAAGCCTTTGCGTGAAGCTTTGCTGTCGACAGTCTTCTGCTTTTGTTTCCGCCAGTCCCGCACGCACGTTTCGGGAACTCCGAATGACCACGATGCGGCCCAATTTCCATCCGTTTTTGCACACGCGATGACTTTTTTTTTTAAAAGCGGCATTGTGGTGCACTCGAGTTTTTGGAGTTGGCCCTTTCATGCCGTCGATGCTAATGAACTACAATATGACGAACTCCTCAGCACACGTACGAAGTGCCGCACATGGGAAACACATAGGCAGAAATGGCGACAGACCATGCCGAAGCACGTGGGGGGCGGCCATTTTGGAAATGCCGATGGCAATAGAATGACCGTATTCGTTTTTTTTTTTTTTTTTCGTACTCGATTCTAACGCGCATGCGATTTATGAACTCTCTTAACAGGAAAAAAGGTCGCATTAGATTCGAGTAATTACGGTAATTAATTTTTGCCATGTCACGTGCCGTTGTTGGCAACATCAGAGCATAGTAGTGTACGGAGAGGACCAATGTCACTGCATTGCCGTGTACGTAGCGCCATTCATATGCGCACGTTATGCCCTCAATCGCAGGGTGCACGCCCGCAATAGGAAGGGGGAGCAGCGTTCACCTCGAAATTCGACCCATTTTGGCGGCGCGAAGCGCTGCAAATTTTGGCAGACGTGATCATGAACATCTCATCTACACATTGCACTTGTTAGCTCAAAATTGTCAAACCTGGCGAGTGGCCCCCAATTTGTGCGTTATTCCATTTCATTGTGTAATTTATCATAAGAAATAATTTTATCTATTCAGATTATATATACTAGCTGGGTTCGATACATGATGCGAAGACCGTTGAAGGTACCGTTTAGCAGGGCTTTTTTATTTCTTTTCTGGCTATGCAGATCAATGCAGCCCAAGTGGCGGCCGCCCAGCAGCAACAGCAGCAAGAGCAGCTGCAGCGGCAGTTCCTGCTCGAGCGTGAGCGGCTTGCCCACCTGAGCGCCCTGGGCGCAGCTCATGCAGCCTCGGCCCACCAGGCACAGGCTGCACAGCTGCTGCCCCAGCATGAGGAGTTCCTACGGTGAGCATTGTGCTGTAGACACAGCTCTCTGTGGCAACGAAGGGTTCACAAAAGTGTCTCTCCTATCGTACAGAGCATGCCAATTGGATCGATTACTCAACCAGTGCAAACTCTCTTCGTGCTTTACGAAGGGCCTTCAGCATGCAGAGAATGGGCACAGACTGGTACCTCCAGTGGTTTTGCATATGCCAAAGTATGCAGGAAGCGTGATCACTACATCAGTGACACCACTACCATTGACACCGCAAATTATCTTCCAGAAAGTCCGCTCCTAGATACTGCCACTTTTTCTCAGTCGCATCGTTTATGTACGTTATGCAGAGGTTCCATTTAAATAACTCGATGGGGTTCTATATTATACAAGACGCTTATTTACATTTTTTACCACCGAGCTAGGGAGTCGAGAATCTATGGTCGTTCATTGTTTGAAAGGTTTCTGTGACTGCCTCAGACCACTCTCTGTCTGGTTTTTGTGACTGCCTCAGACCACTCTATGACTGACACAGACCACTCTCTGTCCGTCTCTCGTTAGCCGTACCGACCGGTTTAGCAAGAGCCAGTCTGGTCCTGTCAATCATCCCATTTTTGAAACACATATGCAGGGGTCTCGGTCACCCAGCCTTTTCCGTGGCAAGGCAAGTGTCGGGCAGAGAACCCGCAGCGGTTTGGGCAAATGTGACGATCTTAAAATATGAATGAGCATCATGGAGTGGTGTGGTACACATTAATAATTTGAATACCCAAGTAAGTTTTTGTCTGGCACAAAGCTGAGACTATGAAGCTATATTTATGAGCACTGCCATATGTGCCTAACTCTGTAAATTTAGTGTTATTGCCGAAATATCGCTTTGAAGTTCAGGCAGATATATACTGTCATATACAGTGTCGTATGTATTTAGTGTCATTTGTAGTGCACTGAAGCCACAGGCACGAAGATTACAGTGGAATCTCGGTAATTTGAACTCGAAGGGGCCGGAAAATTTGTTCGGATTAATGAAAGCTAAATAAACGGAGGGCTCTCCAAGCAGTGGCGCATGTGCATTGAGCTAACACACGAGGGGGAAGTTTAAGACTTACATTATTCACAAATCGCAGGACATCCGTTATAAATTGAAGTAATCGGTGATGCGAATCTGCACACGTTTGCCTTGCAGCAAGTCAATCGATTTCGCATGCAGCTTGCAAAGCATTTCTACTTAGACTTCAGCATTCTCCTGGCAAGAGAAGTTGCACGCGAAAATGTCCAGCGCGGACACTTTCCAAAGACGACAACAACAATTGCTGTGTAGCAGAGCCTCCCGCTCTCCGCTATGCATCCCCAGCATGGCAGCAGAGCTTGAAGTGGTACAAGAATGAATGTTTTAGAGTGATTTGAGCCAAAGTTGCAGCATGTCGAACATTTGCAAGCAAAGGCTTCAGTAACACTTTGGAGCAATTATTACTTTTGGAAAACATGTCTCATGCTATTTGTTCATATTTTAGGCCTACTGCAATCTCCATTTGTCCCCTTTTCTAACAAAACTAGAATCAATGCGATAGGATAAGTATGACCAGAGATATCGTCACTCCAAAACTACATGATGATCAAAAACGCAGTTTTGAGAAAAGAAAAAAAATTCCAGACAAATTAGAAATGATTATGGAAATTACTTCAACATTCAGTGATTGATACACAGTTTCAATCAGACAATAATGAATATTTTACAATTTTGAATTAAATTAGGGCATCTCAAAATTTACTTCTAAAACCCAATAATACTTTCTAAAATGATCATTTTTATAAATGTTCTTCAATGATATGTAGCGATATACTAGTCCTATTGCACTTGTCGATTCACCACTTTTCTGACAAAAATAAGAATTATTGAGACTGGTTGAGTAGAACCAGAGATATTGTTGTTCCAATATGACACAATCAGAAATGCCACTTTGGGGAAACAGGTAAAAAAAAATTTATTTACACACTTTGCCTCCAAAGAAAAAGTACCTCAAAATGATCCAGGGGAGTAATCGGGATGCATTTTGTCATGGTGACGTTTGTCCACTGCCTTAGTAAAGCCAAGTGATGCTGCCCTTCTTTTTTAACAGAACTTGTGCTACGCCACATGTCCTTTTCTCTTGCCCTGTTGGACCCAGTAGGTGTTATGTCCACATTCAATTCTGCTAGCACGGCCGTAGCAGCGTGCTCATTACTAGCATTAAAACGCAGCACAGCCTCTGCTACAGCTGTCTGTACTGCAATCAACGACCAGTGCTGCTCTTTTGCCAGTAGGCTCCAGATTACCGAGCGGAAAGACTCATTTGAGTTCTGGGTCTTTCCCCTGAGGCATCCTTGCAGCAGTCTCCTCTCCGACAATCGCTGGTAAACCGGCACGAGAGCTGCAGCCATATCACTAGTCATATTATATTTGTGCTTGGGCTCTGGCTCCCCTTTAGCCTTTGCTGCGTTGTGGCGGCACCAAGATTGCTCACCAGTTGGACACAGTTGGTGGTTCGGGCAACTGTCGGTAGAGGTGACGTGATGAATGTTGCCATCACTGCCCAGCTCATGGCTTCAACATCACCTACGTGCGATTTTAGCACTCGCCCATAGTAGACAGCCAACCTGTCGATCAGTTCGGCAGTCTATCTCCCTTTGCCACCAAGGCTTCGTTTGCCTTCCCCCTTGTGTTGTTGCACTAGGTTGCGTAGTGCAGTACCCATACGTTTTTTGACGTGGTTTACGCAATCCTCCTTCTCCACTTCAAAGTATCCATAAATTTTTGCTTCTTTTATGGCGTTTTATGCACGGCTGTCACCATCGCACAACACCGTAAAGTCATGCCGCTGAAGTGATCGTTCAAACAAAATTTTGCTGGCTTCTGCCTCTATTTGGCCACACTTGCAGCTTGAATTTTTCTGGCACTGGTGGCTTGACTTCCAGATATCATAGCCCTCACTGCCTGGCTTAAGGCCGTTCTCACAACCCAAACAAAAGTTGGACATCACATGGTAGTCAATCACGTATCCAGTAAACAGTTCGACAACTGTTCCAACACCAATGTGAGAGGAATGCCCCCTTGTCAACCAAGTGCCGTCATAGCACACGGCTAGAGCCGGCGCGAAGAATGCCGTCGTTCTTGGGCGGATCGCTGTGGGTCGCTTGCTGATCGCTTGTAGAGCTGCACGATGGCATGCCCGCATCTTGCGTACCACTATCACCAGCGCTGACGATATCGGATGCACCGACACCGCGAGTCGCCTGCTCGTCGGTTGTAGTGCCTTTGTAGAGCGGACCGGTATCGCCTCCATCGCCGTTATCGGGCGCCGAAGCAACGACGGCTGCTTGCTGATCGGTCGTGGCAACCCGTGAGGTCGTGCCGTTAGCTCGTTTTTTCATTTTGGCTCGTCTTCGGCCGAACTGATACACCGAATGATGCTTTTTCGGTCCTCCAGGCATGTTCGTCGTATCACCGTAACCAAAGTCAAAATAGCGCCTCGAAAAGCCAAGTTTTCAAAGCCAACGCCCTAAGCCAATCAGACGGCGCCATTTTAGCCATGTGATCTCAAGGGGCCAATGACGTTTTACGCGTATTTTTTCTTTCTTTTTTATTTCAAGAGGTGGCAAGCTCAGTGTTGCCCGACCGAGCGAGAAAAAAAAGCCAAATACGAGAGCTTTTCAACTATACAGTCGAACCCGGTTATATCGAACTTGCCAAAAAAAGTTTATTAGTTCGATATATGGCATAATTCAATATAGGCCCGGTACAGGTTTTGACACAAAGGCACATAACAAACTAGAAGAAAAGTACTTTATTAATATGGTGGCTTACTTGCGTGCCCTACTGTGAAACAAAGTAGTCCCGGATTTTTATCTGTCTCAACGACTTCGCTGCCTGCGACAGCACGCACGCCTCCACGTTGTCCAACGTGTCGGAGCAGCTGAGGCCGCAACCTTCCACATTCAAGCAATAGCGCCGGACCAACATAAGTGCACTAATCACTTCGGAGGATATAGGCAATGGGCCGTCGTCGATTTCCATATTGCTGTCGCTTTGGCTCGTGGTCGGCGCGACGTCTGCAATGTAATCCTCATCCTGTAATTGACCCATGCTGGGGACATCATCGTCCGCACTGACGAACTCGTCGAATGTCGATCCGGCGATAGCACCCGGGAACTCTGCCAGCTCGTTCCAAACTTCGGCGGAAACACCTGCGGTGTCTTCAGTGCTGTCAGAATTTGGGGTGTCATCATCAGGATGCGGAAGCCGGCATGCCTAAAGCAGTTCTGGATCGTCTCCTTGACATCTGCCCACAATCTGCTCAACATAGAAATAGCTCCCAGCAAGTCGATCTTAAGCTCCCTGCCGACACGAAGCTTCTGCAGCAGCCTCTACACCAGGCGCGTCCGATAGCCGGCTTTCATTGCGCGTATAACTCTTGATCCAGTGATTGCAGTACAGACGTGTTCGGGGGCAAAAAACGCAGCTCGATGTTGCTGAAGGTCATACTGCAGAGGTGCGATGAACAATTGTCCACGAGCAGGCACACCTTGCGATTTTCGCCTACCAAATCGTCATTCCATGACGATAGCCATCTGCTGAAAAGCTCCCCGGTCATCCACGCTTTTGAGTTTGCTCGGTAGGTAACTGGAAGTGACAGCGCATTTCGAAAACACTGCAGTGCCGTGCTTTTCCCGATAACCGGAGGTCGAAGCTTTTTCGATCCGTCTAAATTAGCTGCCAACAGCACGGACACACGAGCTTTGTTTGCCTTGCCGCCGCTTGTCTTGTCGCCACGACACGCAAATGTCTTGTTTGGCAACATTTGCCAAAATAGAGCGGTTTCATCCACATTCAAGATATCTTGTGCTCTATATCTTGCTGCGATATCTCGCCAGTTTTCCTCGAGCCATTTTTCTACGCTGTTCAGGTCCGCCGCTCTGCTTTCACCTGTAACAGCTTTGCCAACGATGTCGTGCTGTTCTTTGAACCGCTGAAGCCAGCCTGAACCGCCTTGGA